GACTGGTCTCTCTGGTTTATGATATTTCCCTGCTAGTTTCTTCGTCGTGTCACATGGTTGTTCGATATTTCCTTCTGTTACAGCCTTTTCCGCTGTTGTTGGTAGGTCTTCCACATATTTCTGCTTGTCAGCTCTTATGATCCCTTTCACTCTCCTGTTGCTTCAGTGTATTCGGAGTGTGTATTGACTTTCTCTGTTCTTGTTCGATTGTTGTTAATTACTGTCTTCTTGTTCTTCCATTGTTGAATTTTTTACAGGTTTTTGATAGAGATCCATTCCCTATGCTGATGCTTCTCACATTCCAGCACCTCCGGACATGTTGAAGTTGGTGGTTCTTTGATTCCTTTCCCGCATAGTAGTTTTTTCTTGTTCCAGTAGATCTTGTAGGGGTTGGAACATGTTGTTGAGCGCTATCTTACCCAGCCTGTAGGTCTTCTATGGCTACTGCCGACCCGAACTCGCTGGTCTGTGTGTGTGTGGTCAGCATGCCGATCTCGTAGAACACAATGTTGCTAAAAGGCGCTAACGGTAACCAAAAATAAAACTTTTTATGATCATCACAGCTCTCCAATATAAAGAGCTAGGTAGATACTCCATACTGATATTGATTTTTAATTTTCAATGGGCGCAATAGCTAGACAGCTTCGGCCAATCGTTACAGGAGTACATCTACACAAACCACTCAGAATTTTTCCATTCTCTAGATCTTCATCCTGGTAATCTAATGTTTATTCATCACATACTTGTTTCGCTTGTAGTGTTCCTATCAATTTTGGCAGTTTTTACTTCGTTTGCTTCAGTAAGTCACGAGTGAGTTTTCATTCTGAAATTTTTTTTAGTTATGTTAGATCTATAGTGTTCCCTCATCCTTTTCGGATCATTTCATGACAGCGAGGATGAGGAATTATTGGAAGAAGATGGAATATAAGTTCTGAAGTGAGTTCACTCAATATATTTTGCTCAGCAATCAAAGTTAAATTGCACGATGTGTCACATCAATACCCACCTTTGCATATTCTTTCACAAAAGCTGGAAGTTACTGCCAATCAAAACGTGATGTACAGGTTTGGGATTTGTGAAGAAGCCGCTTAGATATATTAATTTTTAAGGGTGATAAATTGATTCACTAGCCTCCTTAGCGTTCGCTTATCTGCCTACTTGAAAAAGGTTTTTCATGCAACAGAAAGAAACTAATTTGGCAAAAGTGTGAATTTTGGTATCAAGATTTAAAAGTTTTTCACTCGTAACCTTCTTTCTTGTGGAATATTCGCTAGCTAATCGATAGGTCTAAATGTGTTTTTCTGCATCAAAATAATTATTCTGTCCGGGTGACATTTTTGTCATCGTCGTCGTTTGGCGCGATGCCTCCGAAAGTTGTGTCTGGAAAAGCGGCCAAAAAGTCATCTAAAGTCAAGGTCCCTAAGTCTGAGAAAAAGAAGAAGCGAAGGAGGAAGGAGAGTTATGCCATATACATATACAAGGTGTTACGTCAAGTCCATCCAGACACTGGGATTTCATCAAAAGCAATGTCTATAATGAACTCTTTTGTGAATGATATCTTTGAAAGGATTGCAGCAGAAGCTAGTCGCTTAGCACATTACAACAAAAAATCCACTATTACCAGTCGTGAGGTTCAAACTGCTGTTCGACTACTATTGCCTGGCGAACTTGCGAAACATGCTGTGTCTGAGGGTACAAAAGCGGTTACTAAGTACAGTGGATCGAAATAAAGTGATTTTAACTTGCATATTTAATGTTTTTTGCAGACAATAAAATTATTTTCACTTCATAAGTCTTAATATCTTGATAACTCATTGTTAGCCTCCACTCGAAATATAATTTCTAGACGTGAATTTCTTAGTTGGAATTTTTTGTGAGGAGCGGCTTCTGCTCTTGATTACATCCAGTCTCTAAAGCTATTCAGATTCCTAACTGGTAGTACAGTTTGTCATATCTGTGACTTAACCATTTTAAGATGTTCTGGTCGGGTGTGAGGTTTGTGATAACACAGTTGAGCTCTTATGTTGCATGAAGATCCATCCGATATATTTTTATATTAAAGTGAATGTTTAGACTTGTGTATACTGTGTCGGTGGGCATGTTTACTTAATATTTCACTGGGCAGTGTGTGTCACTCTCCTGCCTAATTGTCCTCAGTTTGCTAGTGCTCATTCTCACCTTGGGTTGTTGTAAAAATATACCTACTTAAAAATGAATAGAGAGTATCGGTTATCATGCTTTCTTTAGGCTTCAGGGCATGTCCCAAGGTGTAGTTAGCAACGGTTATACTCAAATCCAAAAAAGAAGACGTATAGTCGGTTGGTATGAAGTACTAGTTTCTTGTATTTCTCTTATCCATGGATGGGCAGTAAATAATCTATTTATTTAGACTTGCCTGGTATTACGTCATGGTTTGCGGATGTACTATCGTCATATTAGGTATAATTAAGTTAGTGGGACACTACCCTAGTAGCCGTAATGCTTCGGAAATGTTTGCTTCGTATGTACATGTGGTTGGTCCCCGCTGTCGAGGGCCCTATCTCTTCCGTAGCTTCGTCTGTTAGTGCTAACTGCAAATTATGAAGGCAAATATTCCTGGGAAAGAATACATTTCGGTCCAAAGTGTATTTAGGTAGCTTTGCTTTCACTACACGATTAGAGCATGTACATTACTCTCATCAAATAGCTTACATATTTCTAACTAATTAGTCACTTGTTATAAGGTCCTGTCTAGGAAGTCACTATTCAAAAAGTTCGTCCGATGTTCTCCTAACTACACCATTTTTTGTAACTTCAGTTGTCAACCTGTTTTAAGCTATACACACTTGGATGGATGAGTGTGTCCTAGGAGTTATCGAGAAGTGGTATAAACATACCAGACAACTGTTCTGTACACCTTCTTGAATTTAGATTGTCTTTGATAAGGAAATTCATATCGCAAGGTTTTCCATGCTTCAGTTATCATTAGTGTCATGACTATAATAGAGCATTGTTTGGAGATTTTTATTGTCTGTAATCCACTATTCATGTAATACTGAAACGTATGTTGGAATGGTAAAACGCATTACAAATTTTTTTCAAACTTCATTTTTGTGCTAATCACCGACTCTACAGTATTATTCTCATACCTACTTGTGGAAAGCGAGTATGGTTGACTAGGTCATTACTGTACTGAGCGCTAGGCAAGTAAATAGTCTTTAAACATAAAAGGGGTTCAGTTCACTTATTGTTACTTAAGCGGGTAGTCGGACGTTCCTCGAAGTTGTAGTTTGCAATAATATCAATGTATCGTCTTAAATTATGCAGATATAGTTGTAGGCGTCCCCTGATTTGTCTTGTATAATTTATTTCATCGTTTCCAGCTGTTTCTACGTGAATTTACTATCTGTTACTTTCTCATCAAAACAGTCAGTCAGCTACAACGTAGGACCAGTTTCTATATGAAGTCTTTTGCGTGGACTAGGGAAGAAGAAATCGCTAAATACCTATATCGATGTACCTTCTTAAGTACAAGCTAAAATACTACGTAACTTCAAATCTTAATTCTGGCTTTATGGTAGGATGAATAGGGGGGATAATATTTTGTTATTTAGATCTATGAGGCTGACTAAAAGTTGGTCTTACCCCTGAAGAAACAAGCAAAGATAGGTTGACTTTGATAAACACTTGATAACGTTTGATAGTTGTTTATCAAAGAAGTTTGATCTTGAGTTACTTGCCTAATGAAATGATATGTGTAAGATGCAACTTGATTCGACATGGATTCAGTCTTATTTTGGAACTGATTTGAATTGGGAAACTATGAATGTTCTGTAAAGTCGTTGATGTAATCAGGAATTTCTTTGTAAATTCAGTAGTCCAGTGCGCCATATATAGTAGGACGAAAGCTTACTGTTTAAGGCATTCGATTTTCGCCCACTTAATCCTAGGCCCGAACCTCACTCTACTTCGGTTTGAGAAGCTGAGCAGTATCATTAACCCTCACTTAGAGTATGAGCCATACCGAAGTTCCTCACGAATGAGTTGATTTAAACCCTAAAGACTTTATATTACTGTATCACCTAGGAATAGTGCAAAAGACTAGCTTATAATGCTATCATGGAATATGACGCAATTTTAGCTATCCTTTGTAGATATCCATTAAAAAGTGGTAGACGCTTTCAATGTTCTGATCTCAATAATTTTTGTAACTAGAGCTTATCTCTTTCCAACGCTTATGATGATCTCAAACAAAATAGTGATTTAATTTCTAGACCTTCCCACTGAATAATCTATTCCATACTTGTCCATGGCTCTTATTTCTCTCAGCACTCAACTAGAACACCTTTTTGTGCGTTGTCTGCTGTTAGTAAGAACCTTCAAGGACTAACATTATAGGTAAAAATGCTTCTAAGGATGAATTGATGACAATCATGTCCGTCGAGTGGATAGAGTTCATGTTTACCTAATTAGGAATTAAAGTAGATTATGCTTGTTTTTTTGGCATCTTTCTCATGAAGAAAGTTTTAATTGTTCTACCTAATTTAAGTAGCAAAAATTACACTTTTAATGTAGTCTGGAAATCTAGAGTTGTTGGCTTCATATTACTATAGACTTTATGATCATTTCAAGTACGGTAGTCTGGAATATAGCAACCATCTGCCAATGGGATTAAGTAATGGTTAAACCATGATTTGATTCGATTGACGTTGGTCTAGATATATCACGCTCACTGTGGGACATAGAAGTCATCTCCCGTGGGTGTGTATTGGTAAGAAATTCAAAACCAGGTTGAAAAACCATCCCGTGCATCGTAATTCTTAATGTTTCTCCAGATGATATCGGTCCATGATGAGAACGACTTCAGAGCCGGACAGTTCTCCACAAAGTAATAAGTTTTATTTCGATCAGTGCATGCATGTTTTTTATATTTTCATTTCGATTAGTTTGTAATTTTGAATGTCCTCATAAGACATTTCGTTGCTTCGCAATCATCACGATAACGGAAATAAACAGATAAATAAAAAGTGGTTCTACTATTTTATTTTTTCATTATTTTATCTACAATTTAAAAAAAGGTTATGAAGGACTTACTGTTCATTCATCGGAAAATAACCCCAAGCATAGTAGTTAAATTAAACCATATTCAACTTTACATCATATAAAGTAACATATTTTATAAGTAATACATTATATCACTACTAATATTACTTCATCAGCGAGTAATTATTACTCTACTCGAAATGTTATTTTACACAAGTTAAGAATTAGTATCATGAAGTGGTAGTGTATTCAACAATAAATAAACGATGAAATCCATTGTTATTATTTATTGTTTGTTTGAATTTCTTTTCCTGAATTCAACCCGTTTTTTTTCCTTTATATTTTGTAAGAAATAAACGAAAATAATTATTTACAGATATTCTATACACATACAATACTACTATTAGTTTCAATAATAATTAAAGCTGTACTGTGGAGAATATTTAAAATGTAATATTTTTAATTATAATATACAATTTCCATCATATTAGTACATCAATAAATGAACAAAGAATAATCTTTACAATATATATAAAGCTACTACTGAAGGCTCATAGTTCATGATACAACTTCCATAAAGTAATCGCAATCTACGCTTCAAAAATCAATCATAAACAACCTAGGAAATAGCGCATAGCTAGATAAGTTTAAGTCTCCATACCATATCAGACAAATGCCAGAGCAGTAAAAGTAGTAATGTTGGCAGTAGTATTAGAAAAATTGTGTGGTAATTAACCAGATAGTCCACACCTACCAACAGGGTTCAGTCCAACAGTTACTAAATTCATGGACTGATGTTACGTTTTTGTTTTCCCTCCTTTGGCTTTCATTCAACTTACTCCTTCACAAGTAAGCATTATGTGTTGAGATAAGCGGCAGCTAGGAATACATAGTGTCATACAATCTTTCTGTGAGTAGTTCTTGATGTGTTAACTACGTACCTTAAGGACCTGAACCCCTGGCAACGGGAGTGTAGGATTTATTTTGTCCTACAGATATACTATTAAACTGTAAACGCGATACTGGCTATCCCAGAGTCTATGTGAACAAGGACAACTTGGCTTTAAACTTTATCTGTTTCTGAACATAAAAACAATTAGATTAGTACAATAATTAAAGAATTACAGTCATAAGTGAAACGCACAAACATACCGACCAGTATTGCGTGTCTTAATAAAATGAATAAAATTTATGAGTCACACTAATATAATAGGATAATAATGTCTTTCAATTGGTAAGTCACATGCAACAGGGATAGTTTACAGACATATCAAATCAGATTGACGTGGTGGGAGCTTAAGCAACGATTTGATTGGTTAGTTATGGACATAACTAACAGGGAGTTCCGACGGTAAGGTGAGGCGTGCCAATTTCAGGCCTGGAATTTTATGCTTCTTTTCCTCGTAGAAAGGCGAGATCTCAGAAATTGGTTGTCTAAGGGAAACAGCACTACCCTCGCCATCTAGTACAATAATCTGTATGACTCTACCCTTAGCTTCTACTTTTAGTCTTAATGTTCCCCAATCAACCTGTTTGGAATGTCAGGACTTGAAGGAGCAAGTGTTTCAGTCAAGGAAACTCGACTGTGTCATCACTTTAGGCAAGCTCAACCATTACAGAAGGGTTGTAGCTACGGTCGGGTATGTTGAAGATATTGAATGATATGAATTGAAATCGATCGATTTCTGTCAGATAAATTCATTAGTTTTCTTCTTCAGTTTAAGTTGTGGTATAAGTACGTATATTTCACTCTCTGCTTTTATTCTTTTCTTGATTCTACTTATTCAATTTACCAAGAATATTTTTAGTATCGTTCCAACAATCAAAGCTTAGTCTATTGGTTTATATATGTGCTATCAACCTTTCAATTACCGATAAAATAATTATGACTGAGTTGCATTAAAATGTTGAGTAAATATAATTTACCTAGATTTATCCTTAATAGTTTATTTATTGTTCATTAATCTGTATACAATGTGATAATATGAATGTATGAAAATAATATAAAGGTAAACGTGATTTACAGCTCACATGTGTAATTTTATTGGATTTAATTTTTCAGTATTACATGTTCTACTCATTTTGAAACTGGTTGGTACACTAAATTCTAAATCTTAAGTCTTTTCAATGGTTATTATAATGATAGTTTTTCCCTTGACAAAAAATATATTTTAAAGCAGTAGTTCATGACAGAAGTAAAGTGATTCATTGTATGTTTTGATTTTCACTGTTTTAAAGGTGTCAATAATGAATAGTAAATTTAATTTATTTAACAAGTACAGGTTTATGTGATGGATTTTAAGTTATGAAGTGTAAGGGATAATGATACTTCCAGATGATCCAAACAGAAGTGATTGGGATGGCTTTTGTACGTATCTGTGATTGGTTAAAGCTGGGTGTTTAAATCATTAGGTCAGGTGGAAAATTCCCTTTTATTTCTTAAACTTCAACTATAGGTGTCACCATCGCTTAAAAAGGGATGGTTCATTAAATCTATCGACTATCTTTCTATATGACCAAAGAGGTTTTTATTCTTCTTCCTATGATCGAATTAAAGTTAGTGTAGGGAATATATCGATGAAAAACATTCGTATATTTTGAAAAAACCAATGACCTTAATTATTTCACAGATAATTTTCATTGTTCAAAGGAGTTAAACACGAAATGTTTTTGAAAATAATTGTTATCAGATTTTCGCATTAGTGAAAAGTATCTTCAGTTCATTGTAAAAAACATTTGAACTGAGTTATGTAGACTACTTATTCCACTAGTCGAGAATTCAACTTTTGTTCCCTGTGCTTATTACTGTTGAAAATGTGATTCCTTCAAGTTTCAACGTCTTTCAGTGAATCCCACCTATCTATCATTCGTGTGGCAATGATCAGATTAAAATGCAAGATTACTGAATCAGAATGGAGACGTAGTTAACACTTGATGCTGTTACACAATAAAAAAATCTCAGGTCGATCACTTGGAACTAGTTGTTGTTGCTATGTGATGGAAAGAAAAGAGACAGAATCTGTTCTCCAAAAATTTGTGTTCATGTATTATTAAATACGTAATTTTCCTTTTGTTTAAACTGAGAGTATAATATGAAATCACAGATAAATGTTTCAAACTTAATACTTTTAAACTGTTTTGTAACTGGTCTACTTGACTTTCAGTAAACAACTTACTTGGAGCATTTGCATTTAAAGACCTGGCACTAATAATACCACGATTTATGGATCGTAAATTCGATAAATTTCTCCCAACACTTGAATTTAGACCACTTTGACTTCTGTTGATTTCTTTTGGCACCATAGTAGAACTAATTCTCGCAGATTTTCCTAAACCATCATTTGGAATTCCAGTACTATTTAGATTTTTAGATTTGAATGACTTTACCCTTAAATAATTAGAAACGATATCAGGATCAATCATAATCTGAAAAAATAAGTGAAGAAAATAATTTAAGTGAATTTCTTTTATGTCAGATTTAGGTATCATTTTTCATGTAACTTCATATGAATTACTCGACTGATTTATTCACATACTTAATTGTTATTTTTCATTTATATAGTTGAGATCATGAGTCAATTGAGGCTAGACCACCATGGAAAACCTGGATGCACTGGACGACCGTTTCATCCCATTGTGGGACTCCTCAGCAGTGCACATCCACGATCCCGCCTCGCGAGATTCGAACCCAGAACCTATCAGTCTCGTGCGCGATTCTTAACCTCTAGACCACTGAGCTGGCCGGCGTCCAACGGTGTTGGTATCTAACTTCAACCAATCCACGAAGTTGAGCAACCATTCACCAATGTCTTCAGTGAGTTGATATCGCCCAACAGACGTGGTTGAACTCCACTGGTTACTGCTTCTCACTAGAACTTCTTATAGAATTAATTTAGTTCCTTTACTAAGTAGCTGATACCTTACTTCTAAATAAATAAAATTTATTCATGATCAGTCTACTAGAAGTCGAGAAGCTGATGAAGTTTCTTCCTGTAAATCACCTTATAACCTTGAATGTGTTCAACTTTTCTTATGAATGATTTTGTTGGCAAATGAATTATTACTGAATAATCAGATTAGAAAATTCACATGTATTTAAACATAACTGTGAAATGTTTCTGTATCTAAATAATGAATATCTCATAATTTTCTCCTTGAAGTATGGATTTTTTTATATGTTAACATAATTTTAGTTAAAATCATTTTTATTGCCAGATAATCTGATCATTACTCGACACAATAGTAATGAAGTGTAATTTGTGATACTTTGCAAAACCTATGGAAGGAGGAAGTAAGAATGGTGTGAAAATACTAAAGTCAACACTGATGTAGGTCGATAACGAAAAATTGCCACTAATAAGTAATAAAAAGTACAACGTTTACGAAAATATAAAGATCGATTGCGTAATTATCTTTGTAACCGGTTCTATGCCACAGGAACTTTTATTTCTAAGCGACGTTTTACACCATCCTAAAAACTACAACTCGAAAAGTCGGCCTCATTATTCATGATTCAAACGGACTGTCATTGCTTTCATCAGCTGATGAGGTGTTTTTTTAATCCTATTCCACTTCCCCCAGCATCCTACCTGTGAATAAGCAGTGGCTTGGCAAACATAACGTAATTCTGTCATAGTAATTTATATAGGTCCACACGTCCATTAACCGACTTACCTTTGGTACCCAAAACTAAACAAATTACTTCATTATGACCCATTTTGTAGTTATACTACGCGTAAACAATTTTACGATGAAACATGGGATCGACTGCCTGTTATCTGTGCACATTTCCGATTTTTAAGGAAAGTCACAGTCAGGGTAGTACTGAGAGAACTACTATTTCTTACACTTGGCTTTTAATAAGTGCTCGCGTATTTCATTCAAAATTAGTGATGAGTTGGTCTGGAAAATTTTAAAGCAGCTTCCTGTGTTCTTGTCGAGATTTCTTCAGTGATCATATTATTATGGCTAATATATCTCTTCATATAGGTAAAGTTCGATTCACTTTCAAACACTTCCAATTGTTTTAATGTAGTATTCTGTTCATATATTTACTTTGCCACATAGATGCGAATCAGTCACGATATCGACTCACATGAATATATTCATTCATATAGAAATGGGAATCGTATCTAGTTTTAATCTGTACACAAAACCAAAAGATTTGCTCATCCTTAAACTTTGATAATTAGCCTTGTTATCAGTGAATTGTTCACTTCCTATAAAGATTTCTTCTTAATTGTATTTCATACTATCAATGGGTTATATTTTCAGAACTATGGAGCCTTTGAATTACTTCGAAGGTTTGTACTATATTTCTTGTACTTAAATTTTGGTCAGACTCTAATGTTATGTGTGAGAAGACATTTTCAAATGTTCTATCAGTAGCTAAACTTTAGAATTGTACGTTGAACTCTCTTCAAGTTTAACAAACTTAGTAAATGCAACTGCACTAAAGATAGTACAGAATAGTATACTAAAAGACCGAAATTCAGTACAGTAGATATCCATATATGTCGCTCCAGTGGAGGAAATACTATAAAAAATCATATTCATCGTCATTTTTAAATTCATTTTGTTACAAAATACGAGCAGCTTTAAACAATGCTTTTAAGAACACTATTTCTTTCAGAATAATCATATTCAGTTTTATTAAAACTCACATCGTAGGTAGCCAAAGGTGATTTTAAATCCCAAGGGAAATCTTCCATTATCACACCAGATGGAGATTTTTCTTTAGCTATTTCTATTCCACAGACAGTGTTTAAACGAATTACATGTAACTTTTGATTCTTATATGATCCAACACTGTCATCTGGAATAGCTTTGGGCTGTCGTGTTTGAGGAAACGAAGATTTAGGTCGAGCTTTGGGCGATGTAGGTGGTGTGAACTCCTTATTTGTATGTGGTCTAACATTTTCATAATTGCTAACACTTCTTACGTCCGGTTTGTGAGCAGATACACTAAGGTGATTTTTCGTTTCTGGTTGTTTCTCCTGTGGCTCGTTGTCTCCTTTAACTTCAAGTTGTGGCATATCATATGGTGGAACTAGCCAAATTTCAACAGTTCCAACATGATATAATTCATATATTTTCATTATAAATTCACTAGACCCTACCAAAACAAATAGTACAGAACATACACAATACAATACTTGGTATTTAACTAACATAAATTTAATCAATTCAACATATATGTTTCATTCTGGATGAAATTTAACCATAAATCTAATAAAACCCTGGGAGTGTACGATACCGTTGTATTCCAGCTTGAAACGGCTCATACATACGAAATTCTCGGTCCCATTTTTGGTTGGGTTTTGGATAATAGTAAGCAGAGTACTATTGGAGTATTGGGTTATAATCAGAATAATTACATTTTATGATTTGAATTAACTGTACCTATAATGTGATAAGGAATTCATACATGTGTAAAAGTGGTAAATTTTTGAATTAATTATAGGGAATTACTGGGTATAAATTCATACGTCTCACCTCTGTTACTGAAGTTTACTTAAGACCTTGAGCTCCTTTGCTGTCAACATTGGGATTTAAGAATGGTTTCTTAACCTATTGAATCTACAATCGACCATTTTATTTTTATGTAGCATAGATTTCTTATTGACCATCATTTATTTTCATTAGTACAGATTAAATATGACCATCAGTTATTTCTGTTTACTCAAAATCTCGTTTTTATATCATTTGCCAATTAACTTAAAAATAAATGGTTTCTCTTTGAATTAGGTCATATAATTATTTTAGATCAACACATTGTAAACATCTCATTATGATTCATCTACAACAATATAGATTAAATAAATGAACTCAATTCCTTGTTGCATTATATAACTTAACCTTGGTCAGCTAGACCTTGGACTCACTGATGAGTTACTTTGACAAAAAATGGCATAAACTTCGTTAACTACAACCGTATATAAGTGGTTTTTTAATTAATGGTGACAGAATCTATATGAAAAAGTTATGTTAATAATCATATTCTTACTACGTATTTCACTATTTTCTAGAATAGTTTCGAAACGATTAAATAAATCTTGATTAATGATTGTCGGTGAATATGTCTGGTCTTTTAGTGATTTGTTTTCTGCAGTTGTAACATTCAACTTTTTATTATTTTCGAGTGTTTTCATTGTGTCTTCATTTTCTGGAACAGAATCTTCTATAAATTCATCAACGTTGTCATTGGGTTCATCTTCATTCTGGTAAGATGGATCCTGAGGAGTAGGTTTATTTAACAATTCCGTTAGGTACTGTAATCTGAAGGGTAAGAACACTCATTTATTAGATATAGGCCAGTAAGTTTTAAAAACCAATATATTTATTCTATAGGTGACTTCTGGGAGTTAGTTGTGGTATAGGTATTCACTGTTTCAATATATATATATATATATATATATATATATATATATATATATATATATATATATATATATATATATATATATATGCAAAGGCAGAATCACAGATCTTATAGTATTTAGCAATAGCTTATTTTCACACCACTGTCTACACAGAGACTCTAGAAAAGCATGATTTTTAAATGAGTTTTCCATTCATTATTAACAAGAATAAATAATAGATGCTTTTTGATGGTAAAAGATTCGAATAGAATGTTGAGTGAATAGGGCTGTCTATCCTAACGTTCGTCTTACTTATGTTCCAACTGTGCAACCATTCTAATTAACCTTCCTATTTCAGATTTACTCGAAATGAGTAATTATGAGTACTAACTGTATATACTTAAGCGCTATTATATAAAGCTTACAAGTTATTGTGATGGTAACCATTTAACTTAAGCAGAAGAAGAAGAATTTTCAAAGATTTCTTCTTTCTTATCTATCCTTTGGGAAGAACGAGAGGAGAACACATTGGGATTCATGAATCTTGAATGGAATGGATTAAAGAAATAACTGTAAAAACTGAACTAGTAGAAAACATTCATAGTTGAAGATGAGACTATAGAAAAATTACAAAGTTTATCTTTAAATAATTAAAAATGGAATACAGAAATCTGTTTCAATATTACACAATTGGTACTGACAATTCCTTACTGTAAATAAAATCCATAGTAATCAGTAAATCTATTATTATTATTATCATTAGAAATAACGCAACAGTTGAAATCATTTGATAAATATGTCCATATTAAATTTGAATTACATTTATATTACTAAGAAAATTAGAATATTTAAGACACTAAATAAGAATAATATATTTGTAAAATCTCAGTGAATGAATTTGAAGTAAATCCAACGTTTCGTCTGGCAATCTGGTCCAAGCTTGTTCAAGGAAATATATATATATATATATATATATATCATTTTGTTATATCCTAGCGAAGACATAAGTATGGGTAACTTCAGGGACCTATTAATGGACTATTATTCTATGTATATTGTTGTTGTATAACTATTCAGTGATTAGATTGTATGTATCTATATTCATCTTATAAGCTTCATTTTGACCTATGGAAAATTATTATTCGAATTACTGTTCCTAAATTATATTCAGTTTATTGATTATTGTATCCCATATTAACAGCCACATTTGGCTTGATCTTGTACAAATATTATTTTCTATTTTATAGTGTGATGCGGTCTGTCTGTCTGGTATATAAACCGAGTATGCTTGAAGTAAATGATTTGCATAGCAGAAGCTGCTATTGGTGTTTTGGACTCAATTGGAAGGTCTAGGCGGACAAGGGACAAATAAGGACGCCAGACTGCTCATACTGGTCGAACATCATTGTTTTGGCACAGTATTAAGATTGGAAAGGTCGTATTCCGAATGCCCTGGTACGGCCGAGAGTGAAGAGAGTCCGCTCCCCCTCTCAAAATGCTCTCACAAGGCCACGCGCATATAGCCTCTGTCGGGGAAGTCCTACTCACTGCCTTCTCGTGGCATTACTGTTGTTTACGAAATTGGGAGGACGAAAAGCGAATGTCCGGCGCTTTAACCGGGTTGGTGGACACGGAAAGTCCACCTAGAGGAGTTGGAAAACCCTAATTCAAAACCAATGGTGCACATGGGCTCCAGTATCATGAGGGAACAAATGGCGTATGAATCAATTGTTGATCACCGGCTACCATGGGACTGCATCTCCTCACGATGCTCCACTGCCTTGTGGACTAGACCTTTAGGTCAAAGGCTCAGGGTGTGGCCCCCTAAGAAAACCACCTGCTTCAGTTTGGGCACCTGGGCAGTATCACAGCCCTCACACAAATCAAATGAGATTTGTGTGGCACATATGTATCTGGTGCTTCCTTGTACCAATATTTATGTGTTTAAATAAATAAATAAAAATTCCGATCGGTGGACAAATCGCATGATAAAAGCGGGACATAAAAACAACAAATTGGAGACAGCTTTTTTTAAAGTCCTAACACATTTGTGATACTATTAAAGTATCTATTCATTTTAAAAAATCTTAGTAATAAGTTATTTTATTACGCAACATTTTGTTTACACTACTGCTATATGAAACAAACAATCATGTCGCTTTGAAATGCCTACCAATCTCAGTAATCTGTTGTATTTAGTTATATCAATTCGTATATTATAAAACACTGGGAGCTTTTATTGTTTCATCAGACATTATCAACGTAAATCCGACGATAAGTGAATTGATGTACTCCAGTCATTACTAGCTAATAATTTGTTCCGTGAACCCGAGATATGATTGATGGCTACAGAGAATTGTCTTGTCAATATGTACAAATATATTTCGGTTGAATTTTATCCTAATTTTTTCATCTAAACTGATTGTTGGTTAATACTTTGGCAGATAGGTTGAGATTACTGTGATGTCTATTGATTGTTAAACAACCTCATGATTCATTTCAATAAGATGAACTATTAACGACCAGAAAAACTATGGTCACAATTTCATATGAGTTCTATGGGCCCAATTAAGGGGATCAAATATCTACTTCCTGTTGATGAGTTCACAAAATGGTCTGAGATACTCTAAGTGGTGCAGTTAACAACAGCTAAGACTATCCAGTTATCGGGGCAGATTTGTTCCTTGAAAGGAGTACTAAGCATTATAATATCAGGTAACGGATTACAGATCGCCTGCATCCTTTTTCACGGATTCTGCCGCCGACAACTCATACATATAATATCAGTGTTATACTATTCTCAGCCAAATGAACAAGCAGAGAGGTTTCTGTAGACCTTTTAAAAAGTGTTGTTAAGATCGGGGGAGGGTACCCGTCAATATATTGCACAACTCCCGATTTATGTATCTCACTAAACAAAAATGACTAATTACCAAATTGGGAATAACTAGTGGAAATCCTCATTGGTTCATGGATGAGAACAACCTACCATCTGATATTACCGAAAGGCATTACTTATGAGAAAATAGTAACACCAAAAGCCTCAGTAATGGAAATCAGATCCCCTGTGTCGCAAATGAAAAGCTAATCAGATCTAAAGAAGATACACCAGTCACAATTTTGTTTACATTTCTTCTACCCTATGTGTATTTTTTCGTCCTTAGCTTAGTGTCATAGGCTTTGATCAATAATACCCTAGAATTAGCAGGACTAAACTTCAGCTGAGATCGAGATAATCTTAACTTCTATTGATCCGCTTATGTACACGACCTCTATACCCAATCCTGAATCCGATGAGAAAATAAAACAGACAGTGTTCTATCATTTATATTTCAATCACTTAGTATATTTATTTTGAACACACAGTGGTTAATGAGCATTAACTATTAGACGGCAGCGCATTCCAAAAAAGAAATACTTTGCATACTATCATGCCATAAGTGGCAGAGAATGGAGAAACAGTATATATTTTATTGGCAATAATTAAAGTTAGTAGGTCTGACGGAGATTCATAGTACAGTGTATATAGAAATACAATAATCCTATTACCCTGTAATTATACAGTGAAAATGCAAAAAAAATAATAGTCCGTACAATTGTTCCACAAGTTACAATTATTCATATATTCGCTTCGTCATAACGACTTGTTCGTTCATGGTTACAGACCGAGATACGGTACGTTGAAAGAGGTGTGTGTTGTAAGAGTACCAGGGCAAGTAATCTATGAGGTGAAGGTTGGAAAAGACTAATGGGTGCGACATTTCATTCAGTTAAGAAGGCGTGTATCAACGGAACGTGAGACAGCAACAGGCGACTTGTCACTGGAAATGTCAATAGATACCTTCGGATTAGTGCATGCCTCGACTGGCACACAAGAAGGAACAGGGGTTTCACATCCAGAACAAGTAGATCTGCGTCACAGAAGATGGTTGAGCAAACGACGGTGGCAGGAAGTTTAATTTTAAGTTAACTTAAGAGAAGCACGTTATTAATAAGAGGATGTGTTGAGAATTCCAGATCCCAAAATACAATGTGTAAGTAAGAAAATCAACCTTATTTTGCATATTGATTTAAGGTAGTTTCCGTCAATCATTTCAACATATTTCATCATTCAGAGTGAATTCCATTTATTAACTTTCGGTATATCTCAGTTGTGGTTAATAATTTGATTCTCAGTAAACTGTCCCTCTGTTGATGATATCACTATAATTTTATGCTTATTAATAGTTACTTAGTTGATGAAAATCTCTAACGAATTATCATTTATCGGTATGAGGTTGCGGAGATTGTTATGTTTTTGATTGACATGCCGGCTCAGTGGTCTAGAGTTTAAGCGTTCGCGCACAAGACCAAAGGTCCTGGGTTCCACTTTCGTGTGAGGGATGTTCACCATTGAGGAGTCCCATACTCGGACTAAACGGCCGTCCAGTGCTTCCAGGTTTTCAAATGTGGTCTGAAACTACCATTTAGTTGAAACATGGTTAAATCAACTACGATATAATCTTTAATCTCCTTCAGTCTTTTCCGGGACACTGATCTTTTGGAGTAGTTGTGGCTGGGAGAGAATAAAGGTTTTGCACACAGTGTTGCAGTTGCCTTTATAGTTATTGCCACATATTCTGGGCTGTAATAATTAGTTACATTTTGTTGGAAAAAAGTATCCTACTAAAATGGAGTCAATGGTGGAGCAGCGACTTAGTTTAATGCAACTGTAACGAACTCCAAGACGGCTTCCGAAACAATACATATCCCTACCCTAAGTTGTTCACTTTCAGCAGATGTTATTTTAACAATGTGGCTGAATTTATCTGATAGAGTCAAATTTTAATTTTTATACATGGTTTAGGAGATACAGAAACTTGTCTCAAGTTGATTTAACTACACAAGAAATTACTCATGAAACTTGGTCCAGAAGAATTAGCCAAATTTTGTAACTTCCTGCCCCTTTCTAAACTAAAAGTGTGTTAGAAGGTTTAATCCATATCGGTGTAAGCATCTGAATCGGTTTGTTCCGTAACTGAAAACGTCATTGGTTCTCTTGATATTAATTGATGCATTGCTTGTTTGGATAGATCTGGTGTATGTACGGTAAACTCGGCTGAATTTCGACGAACCAAATTTAGAGGTTCTGAGTTATATCTGAGTGATATATGTGGCTGCATTAAGTGAATAAATAATGAGTTCTACTCATTCCAAGTAACTGGCATTTTTAAAATCTGTTAGGCCAAATTCGTAAGCATCGTGTCAAATACACTATGATAAAATGTAGTTACTCTGATAGCATTTAAATATTGGTGATTATATGAAAATAGAATTATCTCTGTTGTAATATGTGTATCATGAAAATGAAAGAAAAGTTTTTATTTCAGTTTAATCAATGAATAAATCTCAAAACTCTAAGTCGTCAACGAGGTTATTGGACGTTCTCAGGACTGTCCTTTTATTACACACCTTATATGTCTTTGAGTAAAAATAACTTATCTGGTTGTATTTATTCTTTCTTTTATTATAAGATAAAGTTATCTTCTATAATCTTTATTAAAAACAACCGGCACTAAGTAATTTAAAGCATCAAAACAAATGAACTAGAGCAGAAAGATTTTTTATAAGAATTCAGTAAACATTTGTGTATTATGTGTATTAAGGCTTTACAAAAATCAATGATACTATGATAGAGTGATATATCGATAAAAAAAATAGTGTTCCATTCAGGCAAATAAAACTATACAACATTTCCACTTTTCTAAATTTGTGATGATGAATCCTTTTGATGAAAATAATAAGGTGCCCAGTAATTTGTGAAATTAATTCTAAAATTGTATTTACACTACACAGTGGAATCATTGGTGATAAATAACAGGTTTGTAGCTGACAATATTTTGCATGTATCCATTTAAACTGTAAGTTTACATTAACCCTGTGATGAAGATACATCTAGTTGACGAGTCCTATATAGGATGAAACGCGCATCCTGGATTCGACTGCTAGCCACCATCCATCTTTGCTTATAAGTTGACATTTTTTCTGAGTAAAAATCTAGTTGGTTGATTCCTATCGATTCGTTTTTTTCTTTACTTTTCGATTGGATTAAAATTTTAATCTAATTCATCATGGGTGTTTACGAATGAATTGAAATTCTAGTTATCACTGAAAACCTATGGTATACTTATCTCTCAATAATTTTGAATTATTCATAACCATTTCGAGGATCCTTGAAATCCTTTTTAAAAAATTTTGAAACACTTCGTACCATTACCAAATAACTTGATATTCTTTTCTTTTGGGACTTTATATGTTTTTGAATTAGGTAATATAAAACTGCTTTTCAGAGTGAGATCATTGACTGACAGTTTGTGTCCACCAATATGATACACAAATTATCAAAGATATTACTATGTTTTAAATTTTCCGCTATTAACTGCGTTTTTTTAAGCTCTTACATCTAGACAAAAATATGTCTTGACTGCTCGGACTGATTGTTTGTAATAATAACTGTTTTAGTTTAAATACAAATTTTATATTCTGCAATGAAAATTGTGTGTATATGACTGGGATTGTTAATAAAATAGATTTCTTTTTGGATATATGAATTTTGCATGCATTAGGTAAAATTACGATGGATTATACCCGATGATTCTATCCAACTTCTCTTTAAGTTATACCACCTCTCATATTCATTATTAATGAAAAATAAATCATTAAGAGTTGAAATTATTCAAAGAACTACCGATGAAAACTAACCCTATTCTACAAAAATAACTCTTTCCATTATATTCTCTCGTTAAGAAAAAAACAGATCAAGAATAAAACCAGTTCAAGTTGGCAGATGGGTTAGATGTTACTTAATGTTACTGATTAGTGCAAATGTTATTCATTGAACCAATATGCAACAAATGAAATTAAAATTATTCAACAAAATTTTAAAATGTTTAGGAGTTTATCCTACTTCGAAAATCAAGTAATGAGTACCTTGTCATAACAAATAATATTGGAAATATTTTCCCGAAAGTAATACTATATCACTGCCTACTAATACGCAGTGGACGAAACAGACATAAGTCCTTATGTATGTAGTGTCCATGTACCAGTTTTTTTCACTTTCAGTTATCTTTCTATTTTTAGTTAATACAGAAACTCATAGACTGTTATGCAAATAAATAAACAAGCACACATTTTTATAATACCAAAATATTGTCAACCAACTTTATAGCACTGCGTTCAGAATATTTTTCTTCCAAGGATTCCATTGGTTCAATTTCAACAATACATGATGTATCTGACATCAATTCATGTAATTGTATTCTTGCATGTTTACTTAATAATTCTGTATGTGACAATTTTTCTGGTTTTATTTCATCTTTTATTTGATCAGTTTGTTTATTCAACTTAATATCAAGGTCAAAATTAATATCTGATAATTCAAATGTTTCATTTTTTTCTAATGTTATCAATTCAGAAGATGTGGAATTATTGATCAATAGGTCTTTTTGTTTACTATGAATACATTTTGTATATGGATCAAATTGACTAGTTGGTTTTATTTGTATATCACCATTAAAACGTAATTCTAAGCATAAACCATTCAACATTAAAATATGATTGATATCATATCCAGTTATACGATAATATTTTATTCTATTTGCTTTCTATGTATGTATAAGTAAAGAAAATAGAAGAAAAAACGAACCAAACAATTCAATGGACAAATTGATAACATTTTAGACAAGACAAAACAAGAACATGTTATTAAAACCTATTTATTAAAAGAAGAATAAAATGATCAATTAAAATGGAGTTGGATTGTTTTTTTTATTATTATTATCTAACATATATTTTTACTTATACACAATACATGTACACAACATAAATTTCATTGACTACGAGAAAGCAGTTGATAGCGTGGACAAAGCAACACTATATATGCTTTTTCGATACTACAGAGTGCCTGAGAAGATAGTCAGTATCATACGGAATTCCTATGATAGATTAAACTGCCAAATCGTTCATGGAGGACAACTAACTGACTACTTTGAGGTAAAGACCGGTGTCAGGTAAGACCATCTACTTTCACCCTTTCTATTTCTCTTGGTGATCGACTGGATTATGAAGACGTCAACATATGGAGGAAAGCATGGAACACAATGAACAGCTAAGATGTAGCTGGACGATCTAGACTTCGCAGATGATCTGGCTCTTCTATCACACACGCAACAACAAATGCAGGAGAAGACTACCAGTGTAGCAGTAGCCTCAGCAGCAGTAGGTCTCGACATACACAATGGGAAAAGCAAGATTCGCCGATACAACACAACATGCAACAATCGAATCACACTTGACGGAGAAGCTCTGCAAGACGTAAAAGCCTTTACATATCTGAGCAACATCGTTGATGAACACGGTGGATCTGATGCGGATGTGAGGACAAGGATCGGCAATGCAAGAACATCATATTTACAACCAAAGAACATCTGGAACTCAAAACTATTGTCAACCAACACGAAGATCAGAATTTTCAATGTAAATGTCAAGACAGTTCAACTGTATGGGACAGAAACCTGGAGAACTACGAAAGCCACCATCTAGGAGATACAGGTGTTTATTAACAGTTGTCTACGAAAAAAAAATAATTCGGATTCGTTGACCAGACACTATCCGTAACAAGTTACTGTGGGAGACAACAAACCAGATCCCATAGGAGGAGAAAGTCGGGAAGAAGCGCTAGAAGTGGATAGGACATAATGAAAGTTAATACACAGTTTCCATGATAAAAATTTGTGGGAAGTATCAACTATAATGAATTCACAGAAAAAAATATTGAGGACAAATAATAGACAACAACGGAAACATTAATTAAATAACACATACAAAACATTTCATGGAGTCATCCACAAAATTTATAACCACTTTTCTTTTATTTGAAGCTATTAGACCTACTAGCACCTGAGCTCTAAGCCCGTATAGACATCCGCAGAACAGCACCCTTCCCACCTCCTGATTGGCAACGACACCAAAGTGTAGTGAACGAGAGAAGTGAGGACAACCAAATGTATTTCAGCACAAAATCACAGAATATCTTACTAAAATCTAAGAACCATACAGCAAATACTTCATTTGCAAAATGTCAATCGTCTCAAACTTGATTGTTCCTTCGGAAAATATCAGTCGATCGTCTCAGATTTTATTGTTCTTTCGTATCCACACCAATCATTCTCTGTTCTCGTTCTCTTTTCTTCGATCTTCTTAACCTTCTGCCTCCAGACATTTTACTTTTGGTTGATGCCACATACTACCTATATCTATCGACATCAGTAGCACACACTATACTATAACTAATCATTTATTTTAAAAATACTTTTCATCATAGACTGGTACAATCTAGAACTGATGTAAAACTTTTTAAAGAATAATTAAATACACTCCTCACTTTTGCTGACGAGATATTTATCAAAAGTTGAATGGATTGACTTAATTCAGTAGTTCATTGGCTTACAGTCCATTTTATAGTCTAGATCTCTTTATAATATTTACTTTAATGTTTATTTCGATCATCTACTTTATTTATTTTCACTTATTAAGTCATTTATATCATTATAATAAGGGAAATTTTAATTCTATACAAAAATATCTAATAAACTTACTTCATTTTTAACATTTCGATTATATTCTATTGTTTGTAAGATTGCATTATTTAATCCTATTGCTTTCCTGACTACTCCAGTACAAACCTTTAAAAGAAATATATATGTGAACTTAAAATTTGACTGATAATAAGTTGTCATGACAAAACAATTTAAACTCCTCAATTTTCAACTTTATATTTGAACGTTAAATGATAATAAACAACTTTTAAGATTATGATTTATAAAAGCTATTCTTGTGGTGTGACCTACTTATATCCATATAAGTATTATATGGTGATGGTGGGGCATTGAATGTATTTCAGTAGAAGATCGATAAAGAGAGAACGGGAACGGCACGCAATTGATACGAAAATGCATGAACAATTATAATCAGTGACTATGGATGGATATTTGCAGAAGAAACAGTCAAATTGAGATAATTGATTGTTATTTTGCAAAATTAACTGTTCACTATATTGTTCTCATATTTTAATGAGATATTCTGTAATGTTGTGCTAAATGCATTCGATTGTCCCCAGTCGTGTTCTTGTTCACTACATTCTAAGTTTTGTTTATTTATTCGGATCATGAATTTACTGTAAATCGAGCAGGACTGAAAAACTGTTTTGTTTATGCTTGCACTATCTACAAACGTGAACGTTTTAAGCAAATTTCTAAAGAACAGTATGTAATCAGATGATCTTCCAAAAGTTTTATATCTTCCTATAGTAATTATTCCCTTTAATTATGTTTACGTTGAGTAGCGATATTCAGTAGATAGTTTAATGGATTCTGTAACACAATAGATTGATTTGGACATGACAGGAATAAATTGATTCCTTGAATTAAATAAATTCATTTCATGGATTCTTTTCACTTCTATGCAGATTAGAACTTTAATTAATCAGCATCATTAATAAATATATGACAATGATTTGAATACCTTAAAGATGATAATTGGTTAGTTTAAGAAAAATAAAAATATTTAAATTATAATTTCAAAAGTATCTATGGTAATTTACAAGTTATTCTGACTGTCTACAGATGAAGATAGACCATAAAACAAAAAAATGAAGCTTTTTTCTTTCCGAAAATTGATCTCTTTTTCTTTTCTTTTTTATCATTTTCAGTAAGGAAAAATGTATGAATGCAAAATATTGATTAATTAAAATAATTATACAATCGGAAAGGGTTTAGTGGATATTATAGAAATTTTAGTAGTTGATGTCATGAATCAATTGAAGCTGGACCATCATTGAAAACCTGGAAGCACTGGACGGCGCTCGTGCGAGAAACTGGTAGGTCCTGGGTTGGAATCTCTTGGGGTGGGATCGTAGATGCGCACTGCTGAGGAGTCCTACAATAGCACGAAACGGTCGTCTAGTGCTTCCAGGTTTTCCATGGTGGTCTAGCTTTAATTGATTCATGACCTTAACTATCGAAAATGAGAAATCATTTAAAAATTGAGAAATCTAAAATAATTAATTTGAAGAGGAATTTTTTTGAATGAGTTCATTTTCTTAAGTTTACAATCTTATAGAATATGATGTACAAATTAGAAAATTTAACTACTCAAATAAATAATAACTTACTGTTTAAAAGATATTCTAAATAAAGAATGAATTCAATGTAATAAAAACTTTATTTTATTTAAATTTTATTTAAACACATAAATATTGGTACAAGGGGGTACCAGATATATATCCACTACACAAATCTCATTTGATTTTTGTGAGGGCTGTGATACTGCTTGAGTGCCCAAACCGAAACAGGTGGTCTTCTTAGGGGTCCCCACCCGCAACCTTTGACCTACAGGTCTGATCCACAAGGCAGTGGAGCATCGTGAGGAGATGCAGTCCCATGGTAGCCGGTGACCAACGATTGATTCATACGCCATTTGTTCCCTCATGATACTGGAGCCCATGTGCACCATTGGTTTTGAATTAGGGTTTTTCAACTCCCCTAGGTGGACTCGCCGTGTCCACCAACCCGGTTAAAGCGCCGGACATTCGCTTTTCGTCCTCTCAATTTCGTAAACAACACCCTCAACACGAGAAGGTAGTGAGTGGGACTTCCCTGACAGAGGCTATATACGCGATACCATGTGAGAGCATTTCGAGGGGGAGAGGGTACTCTCCCCACTCTTGGCCCTACCAAGGCATTTGAAGTTTATAGGAACTAAAGTATCATTTAAAAGATGGTCTTATAAAAATTAGCCATTAACAAAGTTTAAATTCTCAGTTATTTTAAATAGTTAAAAAATTTCGGTAAACATTGAAGTATTTGTTTGATTTAATTGAACTCTGATATTCACGAATTCGTACTATAACTTCGGTAATATATTTTAAAGTTAGTCACTAGTGTATGTCTCAATTTAATGGTTTAAAATTACCTCAATCGTCGATATATATATGAAGGTTTACAATTAAGTCTTTTACAGAGTTATTTATGTGCACTTCTGAAGAGTTCAAATTTTTAAAGAGACAGCTGTCCAGCACTCCCTGGCTTTCAGCTTTAATTCTGTTTATTCTACTTAAACTTAATGGCTTCTGAAGTCAAGTTCTTAGATTCAAGCTTTTGGTAAATAAAAACTAAATTGCTTCTTAACTAATAATTCATCCCCTTAGTAACTTATTTGTTATGACTTTGCTCCTGTCAATTATCACATGACAAAATCGCTAATCAGAATACCAACTTTTATGACCTTGTACTTGTGTTAAGCCAGTGGCACGTTGAACAGTACTGGCAAACTTGCATCAACTTTGAGTCTTTATTGGTCCTTTGTATAGCGATTTCTTGCCTAACTCTGCTCGTTTTTTCCAGTATTAAGTATTAAGTGAAAATACTAACATTCAATGTTAAACTTTAACAGTATTTGAATTAAGAAAATAACTTTCTACTTACTTGAACAAGTGGAATAAAACCATTTGATATTAGTTTTTCGATAACTTCTTCTAATCTTTCTTCAGGATAAACGTTAGCCATAATTTGCCAATTATTTGCAGTTAAATGTAAGCAAATCAATATTGCACCGGGTGGAGCATACGCTAACGATTCAATTTGTGTCATTAAATGCTCTAATTTATCACTTGTTTTGCGGTCTGAATGCTGTACTCCGATCAGTACAAATCTTTATTTTCATAGCATAATGATAACAAGCAAGTTAATATGAAGAATAAAATGACAAGATATAATATCATAAGTCCAATTATCCAGTTTACTGGACATCATTTGATGACAAGTTATTTTTTAAACCTTAAGATAACATTGAGACATAAGGTATCAGGTACCCCAAAAGTAGATCATATGCAAATAAAAATGAGTACGTCTTCACACTTTTGTAACGAAATAGTTTGTAGTTATTGTTGAAAGGATTACGAAAACAGCAACTGAGTATATCTTAAATAATTTAAATTATCACAAATATTTAACTACAAACAACCTACTCGTGAGTAGTAAAGTTATATCAAGTAAATTAACGAATTGTTTATAGACAAGCAGAATATTTTGTGGTTGTAGTTCATAAACTTTTTAATTACAGAGAAGACACAGCAATAGCTGGTAATATTGAATTTCATACAAATAAGGTAAACATTCAAGCGAACATAGAACAAAACTAAATTATTATCCTTGAGAGGTTATTGAAAAAGTTCTGAGATGATGTTTAAAAAGGAACTGGTTAGATGTAGATGAAAGGAATCTCTAAATCGTATGGAAGTCAGACAGTCATTCAAATAGTAAAAGAAACTAACCAATTAAGGCGAAACGTGAAAATATTAAAAAATAAATAAGGTGAATTTTTGAATGGAATCATCCGACAACTATCTGTGTAATAAAAGACGTTGGAGGTGGATAGAACATACAATCATCAAACTGCAATACGGGGCAAGCCTTAACTTGAAATCTTGAAGGGAAGAAGAAGAAAGGAAGACCAAAGAACACACTGCGTCGAGAATTTGAAGCAGACATGAAAAGGATTGCACAGGAAAAAGTTGGATGGAGAATAATTGTCGGCAGCCTATGCTCCGCCACGACGTGGGGTAAGAGACATAAATAATATATATATATATAACACTAAAAGTATTACTAAGGTTGAAATGAATTACAAAATGCATCAATTTTCGCTTACCTTCCTAAAACTGTTGTATCAAATGAAATAGTTCTTTTTGTATAATAAACTGATTGTTTCATTGTTTTCCACAATCCACCTCTTATGCCAACTAGCAGATATGGCCATCCTAATTGTATAAAAATATTATCTATTTTACATTTCGAGAAATTCAAAGACTCCATACAATCAACATTTTCAAATAGTTTTGTCTTAAATATTTCTTCTTCGTTTATCTCCTTAACTTTAGCACTTTGCCATACAATTTGTTTTATATATCCAGATGGCTATTATTAAGAGGATAAACAAGAATGCAACAGTAGTACTGGATAATAAGAATAATGAAGAAATAATTAGCATAAATTTATGAGTGTGATTGATTGTTTTTATCTTGTAGAAATTATAATCTGCAATAGAAAATAATTTGAAACTAAGCAAAGATGGATAGCGGCTAGCAGTGGAATCCGGGACGCGCGTTTCGTCCTCATGAGACTCGTCAGCTGGATGTACCTGCATCTCAAAGTTGATGTTCACTCTGGGACTCGAACCCAGTACCCTCGCTTCAAACGCCATCGAGTTATCCACTTAGCTACGGAGTCCTGATAGCCACTGCAATTGATCAGTCTCTTATTTGCATATGTGCATACTGTGCGTATTGCCTCGATCTTTGCTTATAATGCTTATGAATCAACGCTATAATAAGAGACTGATCAATTGCAGTCCTAAACATCAATGGGAAGATTCAAACAAACAATACTAGGTGAATTTAGTCTGAAACTAAGTTAATTTTAATAAAATGATAATAATAATAATAAAATAATGATAATTTGTTTTACAAAACAAATGGACCATTCACATTAAATTTACATCATTTATGGTGAGATTTAATTATATGGATTTAGAACAGGTTTTTAATCTAAACATTTTATTAAAAGAAATGATGTATGGAAGAAGAACACATTACGCCGGGGAAATAGGAGCAGATATGAAAAAGATGAATAACAACTGGAAATAAATGGAAAAGATTACCCAGGACAGGGTTGGGTGGAGAATACTGGTGTGCAGCCTATGCTCCTCCACCAGGGGTAACAGGCGTAAGTAAGTAAGTACGTAAGATGTATGGAAGTTTGTGATAATCATCTATGGTCTGTAGAGTCGAAAATTGAATTTAGAATCATTTCATATTAATAGTTTTTGATGATCTGATGATATTATGAATGGGTTAAGATTGAATATAATATAAAGTAATTTAAGTTTATCTAGCTTCTCCTAAACAACTAATCAAACAAACAAAAAATGTACAAAATGATGTATTCTCCTTTGAATTCCCCAACATTAAACATAATCAATAATTGTGAGACTATAATAAAATTGCATGAGTACATTATACAATTAACAGAAATGATAAGTGAATGAAAAATAATCTGAACTAAGAAAATTATTTGAGATATTGATTCATTTGAAAAATAGAGGATTCAAAGGTTTAACCAGGTGATCTAAAGTATTAACAAAAAGGTGAATGGAATGGAACTACATTAAATAGGATATATAGACATATAATCAGGAAGTTTTTTATTAAGAGAATATAGTGATTAATAATTGTAGTCTAAGATATAACATTTCAAACCTCAATTATTGATTTCTATTTTATTCTATTACCTCTATTCAAAAGAACACTGTTTTAAAACATATTTTATATATGTAGTTAGTAATTTCATAGATTTAGGTTATGCTTTGGTTTAGAAATTCTTACATTCATAAAACTTTTACTCTAACTATAAACGTTCAGAGTTATCAAGCCTATCTTACAAGTGTAAATAAGATAAGGCATCAAAATATTTCATCAAAAAGCTTATTAGTCAATATAATAAACAGAGTATTAACGGACGTCCACAAATTTTATGATAGTAATGATAGGAAATAGGATACTAATTTTTAAGAAATTAAATATGTTATGTTCCATCCCTGTAGAATCTTATCCTTAATCACAATTCTAGTTTTTAACTCCTTACAATAATTCAACAATAATAATAATAATTTTATTTTTCAAAGTTGAAATCATGAGTCAATTGAAGCTAGACCACCATCGAGAACCTTGAAGCACTGGACGGCCGTTTCGTCCTATTATGGGACTCCTCAGCAGTGCGCATTCACGAACCCGCTCTCACGAAATTCGAACCCAGGACCTACCAGTCTCGCGCCAGAGCACTTAACCGATAGACCACTGAGCCGGCATCCGATGGTGTTTATGTCTAGCTCCACTAATACCTTTGATCAAATCACAAATTTTCCATAAAACTTATTATATAGCATAAGTTTACGTACTTAGGATGCAAATCAAATCTTCACTGTACAATAAAATGCAGACTAATTATAACAAAATCTAAAAGAAACAAAACAAAGATATGATCAAACATTTTCTGAGAAACTATTTTTCTTCTTAGTGTTGCATAATTATTTTATTCTCAATATATTTCTTTGTTCACTTTTTTATATTTAGCCCATGAACAAACGGGAAATAGATTGATTAGTGAAGTTAATTTGAGTGAGTAATTCAATATATAATACATTAAATAGAAATAATATATCTTTGTAAAATCTCAGTGAATGAACTTGAAATAAATCCAACGTTTCGCTTGGCAATCTGATTCAAGCTTTTTCAAGGAAATATAATCAGACGTTGAAATTATCGAATATAAATAGGTATATGGTTCTTCGGTTCATTGTACACTTAATAGTTCATCCAATCAACGTTAAAAATATCTAAACTAGGTATATGTATTAGTGTGTAAGAAACTTGTGTTGTGAAATGATATGTGTTAAGATAACATATTGAATATATACGTAAGTTCTTATATATCAATATATATTAATTTGGTAAAGGTAATCATTTGACAGAGAGATTGATCGAATTAGCATTCCATAGAATGGTTTATTAAACTTAGCTATCTAAATTACCAACAGTCTATCAAAAAAGAGAATCTTACATTAAACTAACAGGAAGTAAATCATTATACAGAGATACTTAACAAACTTCAATAGAAATAAAGTTTTGATATATTTGTATAATTGTGATGAATTTCATATTATCATCAAAAATGGTTGATAAAAGGTTGCAAACATTTCAATGAGTTTATACAGTGAGTTTAAGACTTCTCATTCAAGTGTACAGATGAGTGTCGTTAAGATTGCGATTAGGTTTTATTTTTTGGAAAACAAAACTCGAAGCTTCTATACAAATTTTCTAACAACCTATACATTCTCCAATAAGTTCTTAATTGTAATAAATTGGCATTCACAGTCTTACAAGGTAACTAGAAACTACACTGTTTAATTTACCGTTCTATCCATTCTATTATCTATCACCTTCAACACTGTTTGCTTGATGACTTCATGAATAATTTTTAATTGATCACTTAAGATATCTTAAGATGAAGTTATAAACTAGACAGATAATTCAACATTGTAAAGTACATGAACTTTTAATATGTATGATCTTTAGTATTATATTATATTTCGAGTAAAACTCCAGTTAATTGGTGATTCTTATCCTCTATCTTCTAGTAGAAGAGATCTAATGAAACTTTTCCATTAAAAATACAAATAAAAATTTAAGGAGACATACTTGAAACAAAAGAAATAATCTCCTATCCTCATTAGATAATTTTACATTTGAGTTTTTTACATGATAAGCAGGTACACCTGGTAAACTATCCATTTCAATTACATTTACATTTATATTAGTTTGTTCCAAAGAATCTAATGATTTGTTAAATTTATCAATGTACCATTGTGGTAATGGTAAGTGTATTGTTGCAGGTCTTTTCAACTCTGTATCTTGTAGTTGGAATTCAAAAATGTTAGAACAACCTTCAATTTCATTGAATTGAGAATCAAATTGATATGCTGAATTCAACCAAGTATTTCTTATTTCTATTTTCTATGAAGTTATATATAACACAATGTAAATTGGAAAAAAAAATGAAATGAGAATCTAGAACATTGAAATTTCAAAAAATAATGAATACAATAAATTATAATTAATAGTAAATTAACTTTTTAGGCAACTCGTGAAAATTTGTTAGAGCTGAAGATATTTTCTGTTATGAACTGACTGTCAAAATGATTAACAGTTATTTTCACATACTCTGAGACACCACAGAAGCGGGGCTTCATGAACCGAGTTCGTGACCTCCAGGTTTTACGGTAATCATACTATCAATAATTCTTTGAGTTTTAAATAAATGAGTGAATTTAGAAAAGGGTGTTATTAATCCTGTTTTAGATTCACATCAGTATGGAACTAAGGTGTAGAATACAACAGTTGTCTACTACTCTCTAGTTTCCATTGGTTATTTAATTGATGTCTGATTGTAAGGAAAAGTATTTCATAATAATATATATCGAAATGTGGTATATTGTGTTCTTAAATTAACATAAAAGTAAGTTATCATGAATCTCAGTGAAATTACAGTGAATATTACCTTCGTATTGTTTTACCAACTTTTTTCGAAAACCACCTCTCTTTATGTCTAGTATCTGTTAGTATTACTGTAACTGCATTTGTAAGTCGTTTTACAAACGTTTGTTACATCTATCATTTTTAGTTCTTATAACTGTACAGAAAAAAATTCAAAGAGAACAATCAGGCTTACGTAAACATTTAGTCAATTTAGTTCTTATTACAATTTGATTCATACAGAAGAAGATAGGAGTATGAGAATATTGAGTGGTGTCCATTTATACTGTGGTGTGTGCTACTGGTGTCGATAGATATAAGTAGTATATGGAGTCAATCAAAAGTGAAATGTCTGGAGGTAGAAGGTCAGATAGATCGAAGAAAAGAGAATGGGAACAGAGAATGATGGGTGTGGAAACGAAGGGACAATGAAGTCTGAGACGATCGACTGATATTTGCCAAAGGAACAATCAAGTTTGAGACGATTGACATTTTGCAAACGAAGTATTTGCTGTATGGTTCTTAGATTTTAGTAAGATATTCTGTAATTTTGTATTCAAATACATTTGGTTGTCCCCACTTGTGTTCTCGTTCTCTACAATACCATTACCCATTTTGTTGCTATTTGTCTGTCTGAGGAATTATCGTTTTTTTCAAAATAGATTTTAGGTAATGGTTTACGTCTGTATGTATATCGATACATGATTCATTTGAGTAGTGGGTTTCAAAATGCATAATTTTACTATTAAATTCATATATTCTAGAATTCTCATCCTCCTTAAAATATGAGTCTCAAAATAAAAGAAAATATTACAACTTTCAAAAGGAATCCTATTGCAAATAAATTTTCTTCCAGATGTAATCATTCTCCTATTTCATATCTATTGGAATGTTTTCGTGTTATTATTTATAATATTACTGAATAGTCAGTAATATGTTCAAACGAAATACTCACTTTGAAAATAGTTTGTTCAAAAGTAGGACAGACGCGTTTTGGTATACGTACAGACAAGAATGGATCAAGTAATGGAGATAAAAAGAATCCACCATTAGGACTGATACAAAATTGTTCTGCTTTGGTTGAGTTCACCAGCATATAACAATGATTTAATTCTTCTGTGTAAATGTAAACACCACCACAATAGTTTTCGATTTTATTCGCAAAATCATACGGTAGTTTTTCATCTTCTGATCGATTATAATTTTGTTTAACTCTAGCACTGTCCAAATTACTTTTCTTCAATAATAATTGTCCCAGTTTTATTGGAAGCGAAGAGGAATTCTCTGAAGTAGTACTATTTACTGACCATCGACTTGTTTGTAACGTTAATTCACAAGCTTCTAATGGCCAGTCGACATAAGGAATCGTTGGTTGAACAATCTAAGAGCAGTAAAATAATATATCTCTCGCATCAAATAAGTAACCTATAAATCTCTCATTTCGATGTAGGCGAATAATAGCTCTTAAATATCATTATTAATTATATGAACAACTCAGAGTTTTAGGTTGTAATGAAATTAGTCCAGCATGTCACGTTATAAAGTGGTAGAGGATTAATCAACAAGTGAATTGATAAAAACAATGAATGATGAATTGAACAAATGGTCAAATGCGTGGAAGAAAAGAACGTACTTCTGTCAATTATGGGTTGTGTGAGTTTAAAAGAAGTCATTGATTTTATGTTACTCAGCAGATTTAGTAACCAAAATTGTTTTTTTTCTACTTGATCTAGTTATTAAATAGAATCTCCTCTTTAAGTAATATCTCTTTGAAGTAATATAAATATATAATCTAACCTGACTGTTCCGGACTAAACAAATTCATAAAACTCACCAATCGATTTATTTGTGATACCAAAAACCTTAAACTTAAATACGACTCTGCTCATATAGTGGTTTAACATATGAAAAATATCGCTCGAATACATAGAGGATATGTATTTATTATATTTTATGAACTGGTACATAATGTAAAATACGGCAGTAAAAAGAAATCAAAATAATCTCAATGCTTCAAGTCGTGTTGATAAACTCTGGGTAGTATTTCGAACATCTTATGCAACGTAAAGCTGTGAGCTAAACCCTGGTTTCTCTTATTCACAGGTAACTTTCCTTAGTGATCTGTACTGTAAACAGTATAGGTAAGTGGAGAAAACAACAATACAGTTTCTTAAAATCTAACAATTTGTACATGCATATCAGTCCTGAACTTTCGTCATGTATTCATGTGACATATCACATGGAAATTCTGAATTCATTCGCTTATATCAATATAGTTAAGCGATTATTATTAAAAAGCATTCGATAAGTAAAGAGTATAGCTCTTTAAAGATTCAAAATCTCATTTTTTGAAAAAATCAACATCCATGTTTCTTCATATACACATATTCATGTAAAGTATTATGTTTAGAACAGAGATAATGTTCCCTCTTTAAGGTCTGATTTTCCATTTGCCCATTTACATTTTGTAACCAGCCTCCATTTTTACCAGGATTTTCTTCGTCTAAGAACAAATGAGTTTATAATCATTTAATGTGACAGGTAATAGACGTTATTAATGTCCGAGTAATAGATTTATTCGCATTAATTTTAACTTAAATCTTAAAGTTAAATCTCTGTTATAAATTGTGTCAGTACACAAAGTTTGTGATTGATTTATAATTTGAAGGATGAGTTTAATGGAGTAAAGACGACTGTTATCTTAGAATGCAGCTCAAATCACAGTTCTTATTAAAAGTATAAAAGTACAATTTGAGTACTTTAAGTACTTCAGAGATGAACTAATTAGTGATTTTAAGTATTCATTTTTAGTTTTATCACAAAATAATAATATTCATCATCAGTTAAACTAAAAATATCATTTACCGTAAATTCTTTCACTACATGCCAGCAATCATCTCCAAGACGGCATTGTAGTAATGAAACACTTCTAGCATTAATCAAACTAGGTACTGTTGAAAGATGATCACCAAAATGCATTAAGTATGGTGGTTTTCCTCTTAGTCTAGCTGAAGTTTTACTTGATTGAATACCATTATGCACTACAATGAAGTAATAAGAATAAGTAATATATATACATATATAACAATGTTTATTAGAATTTTCACAAGTTATTAATTACAAATTATTAGTGACATACTCATCGACTCAAGGTGACTTATTAATGTCAACACAGAAAGAAGAAACTGATGCTCCTAAAAAGGAGCTCAATAAATAACACCAGTAATCATGAAAAATAAAACACAAAGAGTATAGTTCGAAAAGGGATAAGTGAATCGGGGAATGAAGAAAGCAGAACCATAGTGTGTTCAAAATTTAGAGTTAGATAAAGATAATCTTTAGCTTTGTTATCAATCATAGATTACTACTACTTTAGGAAACTTAACTAGGAATTTCTTATATCGCTACTGGACTCAGTCAAATAACTAGTTACCTAATAGACTAACGTTATGTTGTGATCTGGTTATCCTCTACCTTTTCTCCAAAGTAAATCTCGGAATTTTTTTCATTGTTAACTTTAAGCTAAATCTTTATTTTTTTGTCATAAACGTAAATGTCATAAATAAAAAGTGAATAGAATATCTTTTATGCTATTATATATCATAGTAACTGATTTATAAAAGGTCATTTAATTGTAGACTATGGTTTACTTTGTTTTATTATCCAAGCTTCTTTATAGAGAGAGTACAAGGACACGTAGCAAGCGAGTGACTTGGGGAATAGATCTGTTTTAGGCAATATCATAGAATGGTAGTTTTTCCGCTATTCAAAAATAAAAATGCATACACGGGAGTTATTTATTAAACAAACTGGCTGACGCAATACAATATTGATGGTAGTGTAAGTTTCTGTAGTTCAGTTCTGGATGTTTTTATTGTTTCAATGTCATCATAAGAAGACAAAAAATTTTAAGGTTAAGCGGAAATTAAATAAAATAAAACTGAGTTCATGTATAGAAGTGGTTATTCTCGACAGTGCTGATTTTCCTAAATAGAATAGGCTATGACGGTGTATTATATCCTAGTGAAGATTAAATTATGAGTAATTTCTTAGAGCTCTTAATGGACTAATATTATATATATATATATACATATATATATATATGCCTTATTTTGACCTATAGATTATTATTATAAAATTTACTATTCTTAAGTTATACCCGGTTTATTAACTACAGTTTCTCACAATCACAGCCACTTTCTGGCTTGGTTTTATATAATTGTTATTTTTTATTTTATGGTGTGATGTGGTCTAGTTTGTTCGTATATAAACAAAGCATGTCTGAAATAAACGACTCGTATAGTAGAAGCTGATGTTGGTGTTCTGGACTCAACAGGAAGGTCTAGGCAAAAAAAGGACCAATAAGGACGCTAGGCTTCTCATACTGGTTGATGCGTCATTGTTGTGGCACAGTGCTAAGGTTGTATAAGTCGTATTCTGGTTTGCAAATAGTTCACGTGATAACTAGCCGAGTAAAAGTCACAGCATAGTGCATATTGTTTCAACCATTCTTATATAAATCGTTAACACTCTATCATTCAATATTAGTTATTTTATACTCATTGGTGTTTTTAACTCTTATTCAATTAAATATCGTCTTCCACTCTTGTTGATTTTTGTTTTGAGTAACTGAAATTGATGTATAAGTTCAATTTACTAGGTGTCAGTTAAATCAATAAATTGTGATATGTATATAAAATAAATGTCATGCTTATAATTTGGTTTTTCAACTCAAAGAACGGTAAATCATCAAATTATTATCTGATGCAATAAGTATTCATATTTCATTAATCTAACTTATATCTGATCATTATTTCAATGAAATCAAATCATGAATGTTTATTATCTTATTTTTATTTAGATAAAATGTTGTAGGACCTAAACTATTTTAGATCTTTCAGAAAGTAAAGGAATAGTAGAAATGCTTGAATGGATTACTGAAATAGCAGTGATAGGTTGTTTTGTAGGTGTAAGTAATGAAATTTTACATTTTGAGTAATATTTGATTTTAGCTTACATGAACTTTTAGAATCAGGTCTTTTTAAGCTTTCAAATGGTATATTAATGGATCCGGATGGATGATACATTTCACGGGTAGCAGCAAAAGAGAAAGGGATAAATACAGCAACTGGCATTCTGAATTTGACAGGCGAATATAACATATGTACTTCACTTGCCATTCGCATATCTGGACCTAACCAAGGTCCTATAACTCCTCTGGCCGTGCTTGGAAACGCTCCACAAAGAATTCGTTCACGACGTCCAGTAGATGCATATGGTGGAATTCCAACTTTAACACCGTGATCCGATAGGAAAAGACCACCAATCCTTTTAACCGGTACATTTTGTTTAAGAGGACAATTTCTAAAACATTCAAAAACTAGTACATGAAATAGTGAGTTAAGGTAAATCAAATTTATACTTATCCTCATTAAATGGGTTGACTTTTTTATACGCTAATATTTTAAGCTATTAGTTTCAATTACTAGTTTTAGCAACACTGGATAATAATATTGTACATAATTTTACGTTTCCTCATGAATCGATGAATGTTGAACCACCATTGAAAACCTGAAAACACTGGAAAGTCGTTTCGTTTGAGTATGGGACTTCTCATCACTGCGCACCCACAATTCCGCAAGTGGGATTCAAATCCAGGAGTTTGTTTAATACTACATTCTAACTATACTCTTACATAAATACTATTTATCATAACAACTCAGCATAACATACGTTGACTAATGAGTAATTAGTATACAAGGTTTTTACAGACAATTTAATTTTCATAGATTACGTCACGGACTGATCTTAGTCAAAAATCTGGAAGCACATCAGTTGCCCTAGATCTGACTCTAGGTAGATCGTTTTCTGATTGTTATTTAAATACGCATTTCGCCAATCCTCGTACATAATTATCCACTTAAATCGCGTTAGTGAATAACCGAGTTAAGTAAGTCAAATACGAGAATCGATTTTCGAATACGTATATTTCGTACGGTAGCTGATCGGAAAGCGAAACTAAACAAATTGACGCGCGATTGAGAAGGCGAGTGAGCCAACTCTATGTATCTAAGCGTGAATCGATATTTATAGTCGAACAAGAGTAAGTTACAGAAATTCGTTGAATAGGATAAGAAGTGTACACATATACGGTCATATTAAAATAGTAAAGGTTGATAAGCGAATAGTTAACAAGGTCAAAATATGACTCGAGAAGAATGAATGAATTGGACTGTCCGAAATCCAGGTTAGCTATGTGGGCTGCATAGCACTACAGCACTGTGCAGATTACTTGTTCTAGTGTGTGATTGCTCAAAAGTGGTTAGTTTTTGATATCAAAAGTTGACTATCTCCACAAACTCCGTAGTTAGATAATAATCCTGTGCTCACCACTGACAAACTTTGAGGCTCAATCCTAGGTGTTCTAGTGAAAAAAAACCGGCATTAGTGTAGTTCAAACATGTCATATGTAAAACCGTTATCCTCTTTAGGTAATGAAAGATGATCTCACAATATTGTGAATGCAGTGAACGTACATATATGCAATAGTGGATTCCAGATCATTCCAAAAGTTGGATTTTATTCTGGAGAGATAATTGTGAATGTGCACTACTGAGGAGGCACTTACTAGGAGAAGGTAGCCGTACAGGGAATTTAGGCTTTTAATTTTTGACTCACTTACGTCAGTCCGTTATGTAATCTACAATAAGCAATTAATAAATCCTATTGTAATCTTTATGTCGACTTCCTCAACTGTTTGTTCCGTATATTTTGTTCACAAATATCCAAATAAATTTGTCTATAAACAATTTGACGAATAAAAATAAAAATGAAAATTTAGTGTAACCTTTTACAACTTATTTAAAATCGTAGATTATCTCCCAAGTTCTAAAACAAGCTGACAAAATCCTTCAATGAATCTATTTTAGTACTTTTATTAAAACAGTAATTTTTTCATTATAGTTTCTTGTTTTTATTTCATATCAGTATGTGAATTTAAGAAATGTCTTCTAAGAGTAAGCATAAACATTAGTTACATTCGGTTTAGATTAACATAAGAGTAAAAGATGTACTAGAATACGTATTAATTTAAATTAAACGTAAACGTTTCATTCATAGTTTGCATTAGCTATGATTTACAATTGGGTTTAAAAATGACAGTAAAAGATAATCTATGGTTTTTCTCAACTTGTACATAGTTGAACAGATTTTCTAAAATGAATAAATTTCCCCTGCGATTAACATTAATTACAAATGACATGTGTTTTTATATGTGTTTTATGTGTTTTTATACAGACCTTTTTGTAATGTTAATTTGGATGTGAACAGGGTTCAAAATAAAGTTTTTTTATAACATTGATGAGATAAAATTAACTTTTCAACCGATTAAAATCATACGAAATAAATCATTGCCTAGCGACTGATTTAAAGTATCCAAATAGTGGTAATGGTTGTCTTGGAGATTACAAGCTGGAAATTTACACTTTTTATTCCATTAAGACAAGCAAAATAAAAACTTACGAACTACATTGATACAATGACATAGCTATACTTATTTCTTTCGGAGTAAACTATTACAACAACTAGAAATATCAAACTGCATAGATATCGGTAGATTTGTATAATATATACCCTGATTCATCTCTATTGATTCACAGTTCATAGTGTGGTGTGGGTTACTGATATCCACATAAGTAGTATATGGTGATGGTCGGGCATTGAATGTATTTCAGTAGAAGGTCGTTAAGGAGAGAACAGGAACGGCACGCAATTGATACGAAAATGCATGAACAATTACAATCGAAGACTATGGATGGATATTTGCAGAAGAAACAGTCAAATTAAGACAATTGATTGTTATTTTGCAAGTTAACTGTTCACTATATTGTTCTCATATTTTAATGAGATATTCTGTAATGTTGTGCTAAAATACATTTGATTGTCCCCACCCGTGTTCTCATTCACTCCAATAGTATCATAAACTAATCCAACATCTCTATTATTGATTTTTAATGATTATTTTATGAAATGAAAAACATAAAATTAAAATAAACTCACTTATTTTTTACATCGAAATTAATTAAATTCGCTATTAATCCACCGCCACTTTTTATATCGTTTTTTGATCTTGTAAAACTCATCACTTTAACATGAATAAATATTTTTGAGTTATCCCAATCCTTTAATAAACAATAATTAACTTGTTTCTTATTTATTTGTTTATTTGTACAGTATTGATTATAAAATAAAAATGGTTTAATCGATTATTAAATGTAGAAGTAAATGAATTTTTAAAAAAAATTTTTGTTGAATCGGTAGGTGGAAAATTTGTCAGATCATTACAATGTATCTGTGTGACTTGTTCCCTTCATCTACTATTATCTTTCATTTAAAGTATTCTATCATAAAATTAGTTCAATCGATTTGTTTAATTGATTTCTTCAAATATCTCACTATATATAATTACCTAAAAGTGACCAATCACTAGACTATTCTATTAAGAAAGTACTTGTGTATGTATGTGAGTGAGTGAGTGAGTTAGTGAGTGAGTGAAAAGGTAATAACTTAACCTCTGTAAGCAACGAAATACTTTATCGGTAAAGTATCAAAAATCACTTAATTAAAAACAATAAGTCATTTGATTGTAAGCGAACATCGTCTGATAACATATCAAAATCACGTTTACTACTGGTTATTCTAAGGGATAATCAACATTATGCAGAATAGGTGGAGTGTGGTTAACAATGGAATTCAGAACGTATGCTTTACGCTATTCAGGACTCGTCAGCTATCCCTACAGGGTGCATATATACCGACCAAAATATTCAAAGCGAGATAATCCCAACCATTACAAATTAAATAAAATAACACTAACATCTCAGTCATGATATATCTGTGAATCAAGAACTCCAATTTTATTCTCTATCGTTTTTAATGAGTTTTCAGAAATAATTATCTTCACAGTGAATTAAAAGAATATAAACTCTTTCAAGGGAATAGAGAATGATAATAATCCATTGAGGTTTCCCCATGTGGGTTCGATTCCCATCCCTGTCGCCAATTGTTATAACTTGTGGCCTGGATGCCCTGTTAATGTATAACGTGATAATACCTCCAATTGGAGGGTAGTGATTTATCGATCGGATCAATAACACATGAAACCCGTAAGAGTAGTCTGGAGTACGTATCGGTCCCGCTTTCTACCTATCCCAGCCAGTTAAGTCCTGAACACCAATAACAGCCTCTGCAATATCAATCACTTATTTAAAACATGGTGGGTTTATATACCAACCAGACAGTCTACATTGTACGACAAAATAGAAAATAACATTTGTACAAGATTTAGCCAAATGTGGCTGTGAATGTGGGAGACAATAATTAATAGACTGGGGATAACCCAAAAATGTTAAATCGTATAATAGTACATAGGTCAAAATAAAGTTTATAACAAGAAGGACACGAATATGAATAGTTCAGTTGTTTAACAAATACACAATAAAAATATAAACATAGTATTGATCCATAAATAGTTCTCAAAAGGTACCACTCATAATTTTCTCTGGCATATAACAATATTTTAACTAGGCATAATCGTTTACTATTTACGCTGCTAGGCGGATCAGTTCACCGAAAATTGTATTAATTGATATAGAAATGTTGCATAGTATTAACATTATGGTGCCGAAATTACTATCGATTTACATTATTTAACTTAAATGGAACTCACAAATACTTGTTATACAACAGAAGGAATTTTTAGCTGCAGAGAGCGGTTTATTTGTTAACAAGAGTAAGGGATACATTAATTTCTCATATTTGGATATTAGTTAGAAGTGGAATCCAGGATATGTACTTTTTCCCATTTCAAACTCGTCAGCTGGATATGTCTACATCCCGATATTGATATTAATACTCAGATTCAAAATCAGAATAGTCGATTGGAGTCCTTAAGATCAGCAGTGGGAAAATATAAACCCTTACAAATAATTTACACAACACTTAACCTTGAGACATTCAAAGTAAATGTATTATGAAAAATCTATACACAGAAAACATAGAGGTGGATAAATGGCCAATGACTATTAAATATTGAAATATATTTTACTGATAATCAGTGAAAAATAGAAAATACGGATTACTCTGCGTTAACATTTATATATCACATTACTTTATCTACCTACATACTTTATTCAGTACCAATGAGATAAATTGATAAGGATTTGGGAAATATTAAAGGCAGCACCACATTTAAGTATCGATAAAAATGATCAATATAAATAATGGGCGGTAACGATAAGATATATTATTGATACCGAATTTCAAATCACAGTCATTTTTATAATAGAATGTTTGTTCTATGTTGCTACCTCAGCAAATACAGGATTTAAAACAAAATTCACATAACCAGTTTAACTTCTTTTTAATCATGAACTAAAGGTACAATAATGTCTAATAGTACTTACTTACTTACTTACTTACGCCTGTTACCCCTTGTGGAGGAGCATAGGCCGCTCACCAGCATTCTCCATCCAACTCTGTCCTGAGCCTTCCTTTCCAGTTCTTTCCAGTTGCTATTCATCCTTTTCATATCGGCTTCTATTTCCCGGCGTAGTGTGTTCTTTGGCCTTCCTCTCTTCCGCTTCCCTTCCGGAATCCAAGTTAGGGATTGAGTCGTGATGCACATTGATGATTTCCTCAATGTATGTCCGATCCACTTCCAACGTCTTTTCCTAATTTCCTCTTCAGCTAGAGGCTGATTTGTCCTCTCCCATAAAACGCTGTTGCTGATAGTATCCGGCCAGTGAATGTTGAGTATTTTGCGTAGACAATTGTTTATAAATACTTGTACCTTCCTGATGATGGTCGTAGTAGTTCTCCACGTTTCAGCTCCATACAGTAAGACTGTCTTGACGTTCGTATTAAAGATTCTGAACTTGAAATTGGTTGAGAGTTGTTTTGAGTTCCATATGTTCTTCAATTGTATAAATGCTGTCCTTGCTTTGCCAATCCTCGCCTTTACATCTGCATCCGATCCTCCTTGTTTATCAACGATGCTTCCCAGGTACGTGAATGTTTCCACCTCTTCCAGAGTTTCGCCATCAAGTGTGATTGGGTTGGTGTTCTCCGTGTTGCATTTGAGAATCTTGCTTTTTCCTTTGTGAATGTGGAGGCCTATCGATGCGGAGGCTGCTGCTACATTTGCTGTCTTCATCTGCATTTGGTCGTGTGTATGAGAGAGGAGGGCTAGGTCATCTGCGAAGTCCAAATCATTTAATTGATTCTGAGAAGTCCATTGTATTCCGTATTTCCTTTCAGATGTCGAATTCTTCATAATCCAGTCAATCACTAGAAGGAAGAGGAATGGGGAGAGTAGACAGCATTGTCTGACTCCGCTCCTTACTGGAAATGCATCTGTCAGCTGTCCTCCATGCACCACTTTGCACTGTAGTCCATCGTATGAGTTTTGGATAATGTTGACAATCTTTTCAGGAACTCCATAGTGCCGAAGAAGTTTCCATAATGTTCTCCTGTCCACGCTGTCAAACGCCTTCTCATAGTCAATGAAGTTGACGTATAGTGATGAGTTCCACTCAACTGATTGTTCAACGATGATCCGTAGTGTCGCAATCTGGTCTGTGCACGACCGATCCTTACGGAATCCAGCCTGATGATCCTTAAGTTCAGCGTCTACTGCGTCTTTCATCCGATTCAGCAGCACTCTGTTGAAAACTTTTCCTGGTACTGATAACAAACTGATGCCTCTGTAGTTTTCACATATGCTCAGATCTCCTTTCTTTGGTATCTTGGTGAGATATCCTTCTTTCCAGTCCGTTGGCACTTGTTCCTTTTCCCAAATCTTCTTGAATAGAAGGTGAAGCATGTTTGCAGTTATTTCAATGTCTGACTTCAGTGCTTCTGCTGGTATATTGTCAGGTCCTGCCGCCTTCCCACTTTTGATTTGTCTGATGGCCATCTTGACTTCTTCGATCGTTGGTGGAGTGATATCTATTGGAAGGTCAGTGTGGGCTGCTTCGATGTTCGGTGGATTCAATGGGGCTGGTCTATTCAGCAGTTCCTCGAAGTATTCTGTCCATCTTTTCCTCTGTTCTTGAATCTCAGTGATTGTCTTTCCTTCTTTGTCTTTGACTGGTCTCTCTGGTTTGCTATATCTCCCTGCCAATTTCTTCGTTGTGTCATATAGTTGTCTCATATTCCCTTCTCTTGCAGCTTTTTCCGCCGCCGTTGCTAGTTCTCCCATATATTTCTGCTTGTCGGCTTTAATGCTTTTCTTCACTTCTCTGTTTGCTTCTGCGTAGTCCGCTTGTGCTTTGACTTTCTCTGCTCGTGTTCGGCTGTTGTTAATTGCTAGTCTCTTGTTCTTCCTTTCTTGAATTTTGTCCAGGGTTCCCATAGAGATTCATTCCTTGTGATGATGCTTCTTAGGACCAAGAACCTCCTGGCACGTTGAAGTTAGTGCTTCTTTTATCCCTTTCCAGTTGTCCTCCAAAGTAGTTTCTTGTTCTTTCAGTAGATCCAGTAGAGCTTGGAACCTGTTATTGAGAGTTATCTTGAATTCGTGGAGCTTGTCAGTATCTCGAAGGAAGGCTGTATTGAACCTTTGTAGTGCTGTTTGTCCAGTTGTCCAGTGTTTCTTTAGCTTCAGTCTCATCTTGGCCACAACCAGGTGGTGATCTGAAGCTATGTCAGCTCCTCTCCGGGCTCTCACATCTTCCATTGATCTTCGGAATTTTTTGTTGATACAGATGTGATCAATCTGGTTCTCTGTGGTGTGGTCCGGTGAGATTCATGTAGCTTTGTGTATACGTTTGTGTGGGAATATTGTGCCGCCTATAACCAATTTGTTGAATGCACATAGGTTTGCAAGTCTCTCCCCATTTTCATTTCTCTCTCCTAATCCATGTCGTCCAATTACATCTTCATATCCTGTGTTGTCCACCCCAACTTTAGCATTTAGATCTCCCATCAGGATGGTGAGGTCCTTTCGTGAGCACTTCTCCATAATTGATTGCAGCCTTTCATAGAACTGATCTTTATCATCGTCGTTGCTATCATTAGTGGGTGCATAACATTGGATAATGTTCATTTTGATCCCTTGCTTCTTTGTTCTGAATGATGCTTTGATTATCCTGGGTCCATGAGATTCCCATCCCACAAGTGCATTTCGTGCTTCTTTGGACAGTATTAGAGCAACTCCCTGAGTGTGTGGAGCATTTTCCCCTTCGTGACCGGAGTACAGCAGCATCTCTCCTGTACCTAGCCTTTGTTGTCCAGTTTGTGTCCAATGGGTTTCGCTGATTCCGAGTACTGCCAATTTGTATCTTCTCATTTCCATTGCTATTTGGCTGGTTTTTCCTGTCTCCCACATCGTCCGGACGTTCCATGTACCTATAAAGAGTGTTGCTCTGGTTGTTTAAAGGTGCATCGGTCTCGTGACTTCCGAAGAATTTCGGCTTTCATCATGAGACGTCATAATTATTCCTTGAACTCGGAGGGCAGAGTTTAAATGGTTTGAATTATTTTTTCTGGTTAGCGTTTTTTTAGCGAGTTAGCTTTTCTGCGGGATGGGGTCGCTAACCCCATGCCCAACCCTCCTCCTTTACCCGGGCTTGGGACCGGCAGTAACTCTAGAAGAGCTACAGGCGGAGTTAATGTCTAATAGTATCAAAGATTTATCCAAACGTAGGTTAATTGTCTGCATTTGGAAGATTCTTACTAAATCCACACCACAGGTAATCGAACAGAAACGAGAGGAACTTAACTACTGACCAATTAATACTTCAATAGTAAGTTCTGTGGTGAATTATACCATGCATCATTCATTGAACACATCTTATTTAGAAACCTATCTTTCACTTGAGTTTTTAGTCAGTTTTGCACCGATTGACTAAATAAGTACTTATTATTTTCTAACCAGTAGTTTATTGATTTTAAGGCTAAGAAAATAAATACTCCAAGCTAAAACATAAATATCCTCAGTTTTTTACATCTCAGTATGCTACTGTCCTTAAAAAAAAATGCTTATTACTTTATGGCATGAAATATTTTCGGATTATTCTGTGATTAAACCCAGATCATGGCACAAGTGATACATATTAAACCAATCTTAAAATATAACGTTTATCCTTATTCGTTCATAGTTCACAGTGGTGTATACTGGTGATTCGCATTTCTATATATGATTCACTGTTTCAGTATATCTATCTCATTCACCTTGTTTTCACCCTTCATATCATTATGTTAACAATTTAGAATTTACATAAAATTGTACATTTGGTCTCGAGCTGGGTAAACATTGTTTACACTGAAATAACTAAATAATGGTTAGACAATTCATATAAGCAAATAAACATTATATATATATATATATATATATATATATATATATATATACATATATCACAACTATTCATATGAAATGGTATGGTATACTAGTTTTCAATGATTGATTTTCAGTTGTTTAAATGAATACATATATAAAGTGTCCAATATACACTTGATGTTACCTTTAAAATGTATGTTTATAATTTCATCTATACAATAAAATCATATTACTTAACATTTGAAAAATGAAAATACAAATGAATTTTATAGATAAAGTGATGAAAAACTTCTCTCTTATAGATTTTATATTCTTATCTTTACTACTAATAAAAGCACAAAGTATTAATGATAATAATTTATGGCAAGTTATAACTTCATATCCAAATGCAACTAAAGTGAGCTATTTATTGATAATCATTATTGATATGATCCCCTTTCACTAATGTTTTTTTATTTACTTGCTGTAAATAGTATAAGACTACTATCGAAATGTACAGTTATATTTAAAACCTAAGAGATGTAATTCCAACCAAACAGTTGAATGAAATGTTAAAGAATTATATCCTTAGTTAAATGTTTGATTAAGTTAATATGATAAGTCTTTGACTGAGACAGTTTTCAAACTCTAAACTTTATTATTAAAAGAGAATTTTGTGGAGATTTTAGTAATTTTATATAGTTGAAATCATAAATCAATTGAAGCTAGACCACCATTGAAAACGCGGAAGTACTGGACGGCCGTTTCGTCCTATTGTAGGACTCCTCAGTGCTTCCAGGTTTTCAATGGGGATCTAGCTTTGATTGACTCATGTTTTCAACTATCTAAACATTATTGTTTCCTAATACAACAGTACTTATTCATTGCTTAGTTTGAAAGTCATTATAATAATAAATTAAATAAATTAAAATGTTGTCTAGTAGTACTTAGTCTTTGTTTGTAGTTCAAATGAGGTCGATTTGTTAAGAGATCGCTTCCAAAGTAAATATCTATAATGTAATTTGTTATATGTGATTTGTTCTATCTTCAGTAAATTATTGATTTTCAGTTTTATATAATGTTATGAGCTTATGATCTATCCCATTAAATGTAATGTATTATCTAATACTTATGCCCTTACTTTTTCAAAATTTCAGTGACTTCTATCTAGTATAACAAAACTAAACTGAATATATATGGAAGCCAATTTGACTCTTCTGAAATACTGTAATAAATTATTAAGTCATTCCTAGATCTTTGTAATCCTATGCAATTTTTATACTAAATATCTTAAACGGTGTATTTACCTAGTTAAGATAGAATAGTCAAGTAACAAATGATACTTTTGTATGTTTCTCAATTTTTTCTTAATAGTTTGGAGTACACGAGAGTAAACATACCGTTTCAATGTCATCGAAATAAAATTTATTTCTAATAATGTCCAGTAACCGTAGCTCTTTTCTTTCATAAAAATGATGGAAATTATTATTGAGGTTATGAAAAATTTCAGTCAGACAACTAACCATCTCCAAAATCATATATTGATGATTATGAAGACAATTTATGCCTAATATATGTGGATAAATATTACAGTTTTATTGTTAATATTCTGAACACTTTCACCAACATACTTTATGACAAACATAAACTGGACTAATTATTCATTTCCATGTTTTTATTCATTATGATTGTATACTGACATGTATGTTCAGGTTTTAAAATAGACGATATCAATGTTTCTTCATTTGTATTCATAAACTTCCTTTATAAGTAAATAGATTAAAACTACTTACAAACTGGTAATCTTTCATATTGCGACTTGAAATTCTTATTTGCTTGTTTAATCCTATGCATATAACAGGGTCATTTAAAACTAAACCATTGGTATGAATAATTTGTTAATGCTGATAATCCAGTAACCTTATATAGAACTTGTGAATCCATTTTCATGATATTTCTAAGAAATGTATCAAACTATACCTTTTTTACATATTATATAAAGCATACTTTATGACTTATATGTTTTGATAAAAGTAACTTGTGAATTCTACTTTTTGTTCCTTATTTCACCATAGTTTGCAGATTTTATTCAAGAAATAGGACTACAGAGTTTGCTCGAAAAGCCTGGTTGTCTTGGTGATGATGAATGTTTGACAATAATTTTACCTACAAACGATGCAATTGATCTTATGGCTAATGATTTAGCATGGTATAGTTTAGGCGATTATCAAAAACATACATTTATACATGGTCATATAATTCAGAGTATGTTTAACTAAATGAAAGGAGCAAATGTTTTGTTTGAGTATTTCTTATCCATATTCTATTTTTTTTACCTATACACGTTCATTGCATTTTTTAAACGATATACATAATATTTTTATATATAGTTGAAATCATGAGCCAATTGAAGCTAGACCACCATGAAAAACCTGGAAGCACTGGACGGCCGTTCCGTCTTATTGTGGGACTCCTCAGCAATGCGCATCCACGATCCCACCTCACGAGATTCGAACCCAGGACCTACCAGTCTCGCATGAGAGCACTTAACCTCTAGACCACTCAGCCGGCATCCAACGGTGTTAAATTCTAACTTCAAGCAATCCACATAATACATAAAAACTTAGAGTCTTAATAGAAAACGGGGTTCTAACTCAAGGATACTAATAAATAGCAGTTGAAAAAGCAAACACAACAAAATAAAAATTTAGAGAAGAGTAATTCGAATTTTTCGAAATTATAATTATAGCTAATACTCGATAAAAAAGAGAGAGAATACCCTATTTGACATCATGGAAGATAAGTTATCTTAGGATGTGATTGCGTAATCAGTATCCGTCTATGGATACCGAAATGAAATTTTTAATCTTTTAAGTAAGTTAACCCGTGAAATTTTAAGTAAATCTGAATTATTCTATTCGTTTATTGTTATTAATGCATCTCTTCAATATCTACTGCGTAAAATATAACCATTATTGTTATTCGGTTTCTCTAGACGTGAATTCTTCGAAACATTTAACTAACAAACAAAAAAGATCATGTTTGTAAAATTCCTCTCTTACTCTGTACACCTGGAGGCAAATGAAAAAGCACCTCGTTGATAGTTAGTGTTGTCCTATCCTGTGATTATCACAGACGATGTATCTGGGTACAAAGTTACACCACTTAGTGTTTTAGATTATGATTACTGTTTACTTAGCTTATAACTCGTTCGATCATTCTATATGGTTTGTTTAAAATCTTGTGGTTTATTGATAAGGTTGTTTACGACTCTAAGAAAGGGGAGTAACTTTTAACTGGTTTGTGGATTAAGCTCCTCATAAAAAACATACCATCACATTACTGAACTCTACCAGTCTTTTAGTATTATTAAGCCTTAGTTAAGACCCTGGTAACGAGGCTTTTATTCGTTTAAAGATTCTGAATTATCTTTGTAAATCCACTTAGTATTTCATCATCACTCACAACATTTATATTTGATCCTTTCGCAATTAAGCATTTGCAAACCTTTTCTCAATATAATAACGAAAATTATTCGCAATATTAACAATAGCTTTGAAAAAGAATCGATGTTTATATGAATCGTAATAGTAATTTCCTACTTTACTGTATTAGTGAATAGACAGGTTGAAATTTATTTATCATTTCTTCCTTTATCATAGGAGGGATTACTACTGGTCAGTCATCTGTACGTGTAAAAACCAGAGAATGGACAAAATTAGGTCAACAAATGAACTTCATCGATATTGGATTCGGTACAGGTGTTGAATACACAACATTATTTGCTAAACAAAGATTCGGGTTTTCAACTGTAGTGAGTTTACAAGTTATGTTCATCAAGCATTTCTGATGGTGTACACAAACGGTTTCAGTGATCTAACCACAACATGAACCCAGTGATTTTTAAAGATTGAGTAAAATACTCTTGATAATTACAGAAATAAGATTGGTTTGCATAATTAACACCAGTAACTTAATATATCCGATATAAATACTTGGAGTTAACCAACAAGTGTTATACTTTATGAAGAAATGTTTTATTTTTTGTTGACTAAATCAGAAATTCAAACCTTGGTAGAAATTTCTTTATTTAATATTTCGTAATACCAAGCTGAGTCGTCTGAATGATCTATTCCAACTATTTATTCTAGTAATCATCCTTGTATTGTGATTTTAGGTTTCAGAAAAATATATAGCCCAGGTAGTATATTCTCTAAGATTTAAAATATGCAAGGTGTTGCTCCCTGATATTCCTATGGCCCAGTGAGGCATAAAGTACTGAGGAATGAAAATGCATTGGAAAAGTCATCTCATCATTTGATATAATTCAGTTTAATGGCTTTCTGTTTTGCATAGTAATTTTAAAATTCAAGCTATTGTAACTCTGCGGAAGACTTTGGGTTCTCCTGTACATTTGTATTGGAGTATCACTAAATGGAAATGAAATAAACACTTTTCTTCACCTTTCTTATAAAGTCTACCGAACATTGTCTAAAGTGATTGTGTGTTTTCCGAATTCCATTTCACATTAATAGTATTTTTATGATTACGGTAAGTTATGAGTTTCTTGTCAACTTTTAATTTAAACAGTCTCAAATGTATACAACATTTAAAAGATAACTAACAATGACAATAGGTATTACATTCATCTGCCTAATAAGTTTCGAAATATTGTTGCATATTAGAGTGTAATTTTGATAACATATTTCACTGAACGCCTTAACATTTTGCACTACTCATCCGGCATGTCGGGTTCAACTAGATTAGATATTTTTGTAACAGACAGTTACGAGTAAATTCAGTTAAATTTTTTACATATCTGTGATGAGATTATCCAGAGGTATTGACTCAAATTAATTTTTCTTCTTTGGTAATTTTCAGGCAGATTCTACACCTTTATATTTTGTAAATAATGCAAAAATTATGACACCAGATGTTATGGCTTCAAATGGAATAATACAAATAGTAAATCAAGTATTGTATACACCACATATTTCATTACCATTTATGGAATTTTTACAAAAACAAGGAAATTTAGGGTAAGTAATGTATTTGGTTGAGATAACTGCACCAGTCTACTGAAGCTTGTACATTTTCCAAGCAAATATTTTGGATTTATGTGTTTCTATTTAGCCATTTATACACAAAACAGATTTCCTTGAAGGTATGAACTGTTGAATTTTCAACTAATTTGTCTAAGAATTCAGAGTTTTCTGTGATACTTGAAGCTCGTAAGTTCATTACGTTATAGGGTCACAGGTGTTAGCTACAAAACTGCTCAAACTAGAACGAAACAGTTGTCAAATGCTATTTAGCTTTTAATAATCCCCTGACTGATGACGGTTGATGAAAAATGTCTTCAAATTTAGCTTATTTCTGAAAACAATCAACTAATCAAGATAATATAGATTACCTATTGACTAGAACACTATGTTAATCTAGAATTTCATTTCTGTCTCTTATCTTACCAAAAAAATGAGCAGTAATGCGGCCTTTATTTTTATTTTTGCTAGTAAACAGAAGAAAGACGGGAACCGAATACATATCTAACAGAGATTATACTATCTGCTTGCTGTTATGTTAGAATATGTCTATGACTACTTCAACTTTTGATGTGACTGATTTTCCGCCACATTACTCAACTAAGATGTCAACTTAAAGCTTCTGCACCAGTTTATTTTACATAACTTTTTAGACTAAAACTTGCTTGTCATATTATTCTATAAGTTAATCATTTACAGTTTATTAGTTAACTTTAAAATTATCAATGGTGATAGCTCAATTTATGAGATACTGTCAGGGTATTTATGACATTTCATTTTTCGATGTGATTGTAACAGTACATTTTTTGTCAATGCTAATCACCCGTCACGACTAAATTAGGATTTGATTTCAGAAGTCTTACGAGAATTTGAAGTTAATCTAAAAAGCTTGTGAGGTTTGACAAGTTATCAATTCGAATGGCCTAAGATGTAGTAAACAGATATATAACACTTTTTTCAGACCAATCAGAGATCAGTCAAATATTAAGTATGTTTGACTGGCCAAGAAAAGGCTTTCATTTTTAAGAGGGGAGACATACCACTGGTGGCCTAATTTTTTAAGGGATATATATATATAATGAGTACACTTACACATCGATCTAACCAGTCAGTAAACTTCCTATCACACTCACAGACGTTCCACTCGAGTACCCGGTTGGATTCATGTACATCGTGCATGTTACAGCATCAAATCTGTCATGTTATTACGTTTTCGAAATTTATAAGGCAGACTGACCTTTCTTAAATAAGAGTAAATTGATGTCAAACTTTTTAATTATATTTATGATATTCAGCAGATCATTACATAATTTGGCTGAAAAATTAATGAACTTCATGTGAATGAAATCAGTAAACTGTCTGTTGATTAGGAGTCCCATAGTAAAATGAACTAACTGTTCACTGCTACTTTATTTATAATAGTGTTATATGGATTGAGTGAGTGCCCTATTATATATGACGTGATGATCCCCGTCAATCAGAGAGGAGTGAATTATCGATCAGAGCAATGATACACAAAAGCCGTATGAGCAGTTTTGAGTACTTATCAGTCCTGCTTTCTGCCTAGTCCAACAAGTTAAGTCCAGAACCCCAATAACAGTCTCTGAAATATGAATCATTATTTACAAACATACTGGGTTTATATACCAAACAAACTGACCACATCGTACCATAAAATAGAAAATAACATTTGTACAAGATTTGACCAAATGTGGCTGTGAACAGGGGTAACAATAATTAATGGACTAGGAATAACTCAAGAATAATAAATCGTGTAATAATAGTCTATAGGTCAAAATGAAGCTCATAATGAGAGGGACACGAATATGAAGAGGAATGAATAGAATAGGAAATATACATATCATATTGGTCCATAAACAGTTCTCAAAGTTACCGATCTCTACGGGATATAACAAATAATTCCCTAAATAAATACAATCTATAATATAAAATTATAAAAATTTATAATTTCTACATCATATACCAATATTTATTTTTAACATACTAAACAAATTAATATTTCCACTTTCAATATTTCTATAACAGTATATCAAAAGAATTATGGTATTTACTATTACAAGAACCTAAATATGCACCATATCCAGCGCAACAAATCTATTCAACTATATTTGTTGTTAAGGATTCTGGTTGGAACTCATTACCAATTACTCAACTGAATAGATTAAGAAAGAATATCACTTTATTAGCTTCTGTAAGTAGTTTAATTCAATTGTATTTTTAATGAAAAGTGGAAATTTGTATTACATTAAATAGGAATAATATATCTTTGTAAAATCTCAGTGAATAAATTTGAAGTAAATTCAACGTTTCGCTTGGCACTCTGGTCTAAGCTTTTTCAAGAAAATATAATCAGACGTTGAAATTATTGAATATAAATAGGTACATGGTTCTTCGGTTCATTGTACACTGAATAGGTCATCTAATCAGTGTTAAAAGCGTCTAAACTAGGTATATGCATTAGTGTGCAATAGACTTGTGATGTGAAATGATATATGTTAAGATAACATATTGTATATATACGTAAGTGGTGAAAACATACAATTTTTAATATGTGATATGAATCATATATGTCACATCATGTATAAAATGAAGATAAATAAACACAATAAAAGAGTGAAATTCGAAGAGGAAGAATGTAATTTGAAACTGAATATATGTGTTATTTTAATGTTCCAATTATTTTTATATATAGTTAAAATCATTGGTCAATTGAAGCTAGACCACCATGGAAAACCTGGAAGCACTGGACGGCCGTTTTGTCCTATAATAGTGCTCGCGTGCAGAAAGGATTTCAGGTTTTTACTCATTAATGATTAGCTGCCATGGCACAACTAATTGTATTTCATCCCTCCTATTAATACTGTTTGGATCAGCCCATATGTATAGAGCTTCGGCTGTTTGTCTCTCCTTGTAAGAATTGAAAGTTTGGACCAGATTGGTAGGCAAAACGTTGGATTTACTTCAAATTCATTCTCTGAGATTTTATAAATATATATTATTCCTATTTAATCTCTTACATCAACTCGGTGTCCAAATAATGTGAAACTATTCGCTCTAATTTAGACGAAATTTGTTATATGTAAATCTGTATAGTTTTTAAAAAAATAAATCATTACATTTATTCGGTTGTGAATAAATGTTCTCACATTTTTGTAAACAAGTTTTTCTATTGATTTGTTGTTTTAAAATGAATTGATTGATTTGTTTTTTTCAGGTATATATATTGAATTGAAACGTATTATTAATTGAATAGTTTCAATTCACGTAGTATTGTTTGTTTGAATCTCCCCATTGATGTTTAGGACTGTAACTTTTCAGTCTCTAATTGGTATATGTACATACTGTACGTATTAGAGACTGACAAGTTGCAGTCCTAAACATCAATGGGAAGATACAAACAAATAATACTAAGTGAATTTAAATTTCACCCCTTTGCTCAAGCAAGTGGCTTTCAGGACTCAGTAGCTGAGTGGATAACGCGATGGTGGTTGAAGCGAAAGGTACTGGGTTCGAGTCCCAGGGTGAACATCAACTCTGAGATGCCGGTACATCTAGCTGACGAGTCCCGAATAGGACGGAACGCTCGTCCTGGATTCCACTGCTAGTCACTATCCAACTTTGCTTAATAGTTTCAGTATGATAATAATTTTTTTCATTATTATTAGTGGATAAAACTTTCTATTATAATTTAGTAATTACTGGTATATCTCAATCATTATCTAAAAAGTTAAATTCGAGGATAAAAAGTAAATTATGACCATTTACTCACTAGTAACCATTTCTAAGATGTATTTTAAGAAGATCTAATGAAATCTTTGGTCTGTGAAGTCAAAACAGTTAAAGTTGAGGCTAAAATTCACTGCCTAGATTTCCCAATGATCGTGTTAAATATTACATGAGTGAAGTAAAATAATACCATTTGATTCTAACTTAGTGAAGAATCGGTAGTATGCTCTATGTAAGATCTAATGATTGTTGGCTTATTCTATTTTAAGAAGTCATAAATGACTGCCTCTGAGGAATCCAAAACATGAGCAAAGACTTCGCCAAAACTAATTGCTCGCTAATTGTATCCCAGATCATGTTAGTTAATAGTGAAAATGGTTTTGAACTACTACATTTAACATTCTGTTTACTTTCACGCCTATTCTAGGTTTTATCTTATCATTATTGTCCAAATCAACTTATTTATCGTGAATGGATTTCAGTGAAACCCAATATGAATATTTATACTGGTTTTCCCAATAGACCACAATCTGCAAGTAGTATTCAACCAAGTGAATTAAACTCAGCCCAACTGTACAAGAGTAGTGGTGATTCAAGTAAATGATATACATAATACCTTGACTATAGACTCATTAGCCAAACATTCATTTATTTTGAATAGTTAACAAGAGTTGTTTTGATCGAATTTCAAGTAATACAATGAGGTGCATACAATGATTTTATACTATAAAAACAGAAAGTAATGTATACATTAATAATTAACGTTTGATCATTAACAGTAATAATCAGAAAAACATAGACAAAGATTTTATACTAGTCAGCACTCGTTACCAAGGTATATCCATAATCTCAAAAGAACTGATACTGCCGGTACTACATTTATAGCTATTCTCACTGAGCTACTTTCATTATGACTGATCTGATGTATGACAAAAATATTTACGAGATTGTAATTACATCTTTCTATGGAATTCTAACTTATGTTCACTTAAGTACAAGACATCAGCATAAACAAGAAAACTGGTTTGTTTTAAAAGTACCCAAAATTTGATGTTATTTGAATGTATATTTTCATTGCAGATTCATTTGAATAATTAGAAATGATAAGAATTTTAAATTTATCATTATATGAAATACAAACATCTAGATAGTTCAACTATTTCCTTATTGAAAACAAATTGAACAATTCTAGATAATTAAAATAACTCATAGTGTCATTGAATAAGAAAAAGAGAATTCAACGAAGAAAATTTTCTTTTCGACGGAATCATCTACTTAAACTGTACATTCGTATATATGTAGTTATATGGAAAATATATGTCTATAGGAGGCTAGGAAAGATTTCATTATCAATTGATTCGATAATGCAATCTTTCCTAGCCTCCTATAGACATATAATTGAACAACATATGTAAGCGAACAATTGTTTTTAATTTGATTGTCATCAGGCTTTACTCGAATATACATGAATAGCCACTTGCTTGTGCGATGGGGTGAAGTTTAAATTCACTTAGTATTGTTTGTTTGAATCTTCCCATCGATGTGTTAGGACTGCAACTGGTCAGTTTCTAATTGGCATATGTGCATACTGTGCGTATTGCCTCGATATATCCATCTTTGCTTACCATGCTTGTGAATTAAGGCTATATCGAGGCTATACGCACAGTATGCACATATGCCAATTAGAAACTGACCAGTTGCAGTCCTAACACATCGATGGAAAGATTCAAACAAACAATACTAAGTGAATTTATACATGAATATTTATACGAAAATGTTAGACCAATCAAGGTTATTTGAGTCAATAATCACAATGAAAAAGAATACGTCACCGAGCATAATAGGTAAACGTACAATTTGATATTGGGAAGACAGGTGTACTGATAGTATTAAGAATAATAAAATACGGTAACAAAAGTCTTATCAATAGTTAAACATTGGAAATAGGAGGTCAAACGAGGGTAAATAGACTCAGAATAGTGATCATAAAAAATTGGAATCATTACGTAATAAGAAGTATGTAAATAATTAGATAGTGAGGAATACAAACGGAAGTAGGCGGAAAATTACAAACAAATACCAGATGTGAAAATAATGCTAATGATAACAAAATTAAAAATAAAACCTAAAACAATATTGTCATTTGTTATTTTCGGCCATGGAAGGGATATGGGCTTACAAATTTCCTCTGTACACATAAATTGGGGTGAAATGTACGAATTCCTATGGCTTTTGCAATATGAAGGAAACGGGAACGAACTCCGTTGGGAAATTATGGAGGTATACGATAGATTACTCGAAGTGACTTCGATTTATCTACATTATGACCACTATCAATCAGATGCGCCAAGATAGAACTACGTATTGTTTTTATCTGGGCCCTTCCCAAACCATGTTGGTAGATGTTCACTCATTAGTTGGTTAAGTTGCCTAGTAGTACGCCCGATCTATCGTATAAATATTCATGTATATTAGAGTAAAGCCTGATGACGATCTAATTGAAAACAATTGTTCGCAGACATATATTTTCCACATAAGTAAATGATTTCGTAGAAAATAAAGTTTTCTTCGCTGAATTCTCTTTTTCTTGAGCAATTCTAATTAGATACTACTCATTAATTCCTTTAGTAATTCTTTATTAAATATTATTCCTACTGTCGAATTTTTTTTTCATAAATTACCTTTTTAAATATTTAGTTATAATATCAAGTGGAAATACTGAAGCAAAATTAGAAGATAAAAGTTTTATCATACAAAAGGCAATTGTTCATATCATTCAAAAGCCATTAGCATTTATATTTGAAACACGTGAAGAAATTCTAAATAGAATTAATTCGTAAGTTAATTAATAATTTCAATATTCTATAGGGTGGTTTGTAGAAATTGTAGAGTGTTTTTAGCTTAAATTAATAACTGATCTTAACCAGACCACTGATGTTAAGAATCCGAGAGGGAAACTCATAGCCCTAGGTTTGATTGCGGATTCGAAACCGTGAACGCGCAAGTCTAAGGTGTCTTACACTAGAACAAAACGGCCGTTCAGGGCTTCCAGGTTTCCTTTGTGTTCTGGCTGAAATCAGTTCGAGACAAAAACCATGAATATAGTAAGAACTCTACATTTTCAAATTGAAACGTATAGTTAGAATGTATGATCAATACAATACGAACCTAAATTTAATCAATTAACAGTATGTAAACTCTCAGAAATGGATACTTTTTAAAATAGTAAAACTCGTTTCCATTACTATTGTAGTCAAAAGCTCAAGGATACACCTAGAATTTGTGATACAATGTGGTGTATGTCAGTTTAATATGTGGATAAATGGGACTATGTTAGACAATCAGTAGAATAGTTATTCCATCAATGAGGTTGATGCTGATGGCTGGGAATTACTATCAGGAATAAAATTGACACGCCGAACTTCACTTTGAAGCTATTCCACGAGATGCTCATGATTTCATCTGTAGAGCTAGCACAGTCTGTCACTTGATAGTGCTAATGCTCAGATTTATATTGAATTCTAATGGTTTTCCAAATTATAACTTCATTACTGAACACAATAATATAAAAAAATTTTTACAGTAATTTGTCTTTCCGTAGTTCTAAAGTTTTGCTTCTAATACTGTCATATATTTATAGCCATTTATCCCATCTAACCATTACTTCGAATATGAAAACCAATAAAATAGAACTAATTTTTATTCGTTATCATGTGCAAGAATTTTCAGTTCCATACGCTTTCTTAGAGCACTCAAATTTGTTTGAATCAAAGATACTGTTCAATCCCAGCACTAGTTTAAAGGGCGTAAAAAAGTTGCGACTGGTCAACGAGACAAATTTGTTAACTCATCGGTGCCTAGCTATGAAAGACATGATTAAACCCTTCAAGATCATGACACTAAAATGAACACTAGTCGGATCCTGAAAAAATCTAGACTACTCAAATCGCAATTCGAGTTGTTTTTTTGTCTACAACAACATCACTATGAGTTGTTCAAGCTAGAGTCAAATTACATTTGGGACCAGGTCTGCCTTAGAATGATCATCTTCAAAAAAATTAGATTGCAATCATTAGAATTACCCAGTTCTAAAGGAGCTCCTTTATATACAGTTGGTTATCTGTTAGTACCTTTGTATGTAGTAGATACTTCTCACTCTCTTAATATGAAATAATACTGTAGTTTCTTGTTACTTGTTAGCTTTAAGGTTGGCAAATCATTTACCAAAATTTTAACAGGAAAGTAAACAAAACGACTAGTCGCTGAAATAAGACTGAGAGCGATCAGCAGATTTTTCTTGAGCTATCCCATAGGAAATACAGCAGGAGTCTCACCCAGTTGATTCCATTCTCATAAATCCGTCCATTCCCTTGTAAGTCATAGTGGTGTGACGAGCATTAGTTCTTGGAATACCATCGATTTTCATGTGGTCTTTATGATCTAATGAATTTTAGTCACCTCACAATAAGCTCATTTAGCAACATGGGGATCTTCAGACGAACTTGACGCTACGATAACTATACAACCTGAATATAACACCATCATCCTCTAGAGCGAACACATAAATATCACGAACCTTGGCGGACACTTCACATTACTCACGAATAGTCTTTCCAACCACTAAAGATGTCGATTATTTGTGACCTAATAATTTGAAACAGAAGTGTGCTAGTTCACCATAACTCAACTATAAGTCTTTAATTTTCTATGAAGGAAAAAACTAAAACACTTTACCGATAGCTACCATAGCATGGGAACAGTACATAATTGATTTTGATGTGAAGGAAGTATCTCTGCATATTATTAACTAAATGGTAGTCTAACACCTTTATACAAATGGTGGAATAAATCAAAAATATGAGTTTTTTCGTATATGTGTTATTATTCAACAGACTCTCAAAATCTGCTTGCATTAGTCCAAGAAGTTTAATGATTAAAGATAGCTAACCTATGTACCCTATTTTGAAGAAGAATTGTGTATAAAGCTACAAGGAACTCGCATTATTTGACAATCGATAAAGTCACCGGCATATTTAACTCTTGATGTAAGAATATGTTAATATCCAGTTGTCTGCTTTCGTATTTCGTGTGGTACCATATTTAAACATAGTTAAATCAAGTTAGTATTTATACAGTCAAGTGATTTTGGTATTCTTATATTTAATTGTTTAACTTTTTTCATAATATTCCCAAGTCTGTACTTTCAATGGAAAACCATCTTAATATAAATTCCAGAAAAAAAAGAATGTCAAAACACATTGCAAATACCTATAAACAGTTAATCACAACTAACATGAGCTAGCACTACGAAACAATCAGTAAAAATGACGTAAACATGTGATATTTTCAGTCTAGATGATTCAAACTCATTAAAAAGAGGAATTCATCACATAAAACTAAAATGTTTCAAATATCTACTAACTGACTAGACAATGAGGCATTTTCATAGTTGAAAGCGTCAGTCAATTGAAATTAGACCACCAGGGAAAACCTGGAAGCACTGGACGGCCGTTTCGTCCTATTGTGGGGCTCCTCAGCAGTGCGCAATTGTCCATTAAATAATTCACTTAAATTACGTTCTTTTTTTCAAGATAACACTTCAGAATAGAAACCATTAAATGTATCTTGAATTCTTTTCAGTGAATTTGAATATAAAATTAAATATTTTACTAAATATCTCTCTAATCTTAGAGATCTATCAAAGTTTTACTGCTGGTTTGCTCAAAGATGGTCATTTAATCACTGTTTTTTTTTCTTTTTTCTTTTTTGATTGACACTTGATCAATATAGAAATCTGTTATATTCATGTCAATTAGATACAATTTGTAAGAATATGTTAACATCATCTACAGATCTAACAATTTTTTCACCGAATGCACAAGCCATGCAAAATTTTAATAAATTACCTACTAATGAAAAGGTAAATTCATTTGAATTATTTACTAATTTGGAACATTTAATTTGAGGTAATATAATCAGAAGATATTAACGACATATAGAAGAAAACTAGATCGACTGTCAGACAGTAAATATGGTAGGGAATACCAATTAGGTATGCAGAAAATTGGAACTGGGGATTTATAACAAATACTGAAAAATTGTTATCTTCTTGTAGTAATTATTATAGATCATCCTTCTAAAATTGCATTATTAATTTAGAGGCTTGTAGAAGGGGAATTAATTTATAGCAAACTAATAATAATTGAAGGATTCCTAGAAACACTTGTCATGGGATTCTATGGCAATGGGTTCCATCAATTCTATTTGGGATAGGATCTAGTATCTGCAGACCCTCTCCTCTGTCGTTATAATATTCGGAACGTTTTTTTAGTGAACAGTACAATGTGGTCCATACATTTCTTTCATTTTATGATATTTCGAAAAGCCTGTCGTTTTTCAGTAAGCCATCTAGTTGTTTTTATTTACCAGTAACGTTATTTATTCTCTAAAGGAGCAGTTTACACCAAGTCACGAGACTTCAATAATTTAATTTTTCTACTCACTGAGATATCACAAGTATATCATTATTTTCATCATTACTAATAACATACATTTTAATTTATTATCTTTGTTGAAATTTCGACACAAATAATTTTTTTCATTTTCTACCTAAAAATTAAATTTCAGATATACTGAGCTTTTCAAAGAAATCACTTCGTGCAGTCTCATTCACATAATGCAATTAAATAATTAAGAGATAGATTTGTTAATTGATGGACAAAAGTTTCAAAATATTCATAGCCTATATTGATTTTGAACTTGAGAGATGAGTTAATTAAGTGATTTAAGACATTAGTTTGACTGCCCGGTAATATTTACTTTGTAAAAGTCAATGTTACTTTGTCTTGTAATTAATAAGATGTTGTAAACTGATAACTATGATTATTGTTTATCAACTGAAAAACTGAGTTGGATACACCTTCTTAAAGACTGATGTGCATATTTGCTCTTATGCTTCCTTCACAGTATTTTTATATACCAAAACGGGTATTAGGTGAATCATTAGCAATTTTTCTAAAATAATAGACAAAGACTTGACATACGACTGCTTATTACTGTATTCCTTTGAGCATTTTAGAGTTCACATTCAAATAAAATTTTCAACATTTTTATGGTTCCTTTTCATTTTAGAAAAATCATATTTCTAAGAATTCATTTTTGGAACTACGAAACCACTTGTGGTTTTTTAATTAAAAAACATAAAATAACGAGCCAAGGAGTTTTGTGAATTTCATTATCATTTGTATTTAAAGCAATGACGAGGAACAAGATTCATACTGTCAGCTTGATTTGTTCAGTCATAACAATCCCCAAAATGAAATGACTCCTGAAATTATTAATTTTAACATTTATACTACTACTAAGTAGTTTAACTACATTTCTAGAAAATTTAGAAGTTCACTGGTCATTATGAGCTAATTGATCAAATATTTCTTAATTTAGAATTTATAAATGAGCCAAATACTGAGCATCATATTGAAGTAGAAATTTCATGCTGTACACAAATACTCAGATTTTTGGCTAGGAAGAGGGGAGTTTGAGAAGTTTAACAACATCTATTTTGATTGAGATAATGAATCGATTAATGGTAGACCAACATAGAAAACATGCAAGCATCAGAAAGCCGTTTCGTCCTAGTACAGGAATCCTCACCAGTGCGCATCCAACATCTCACAAGTAGAATTCAAACACACAAACTTCAATCTCACACATGAACACTCAACCTCTACACCACTTAGTCGACATCCAACTGTGTTAAATTTTTAACTTCAACTATTCCACGATATTGCGTGATCATCTTCCATTGTCTTCGTTGTGTAAATGCCTCACAGGAGACATGGTTGAAGTTCACTGGTTACGGTTTTTCACTAGAACCTCAGGAAATCCATCTTCCTTGAGTGATCGTGGATGTGCACTTATGAGGAGTTCAACAATAGGACGAAACGGCCGTCCAGTGCTCCAGGTTTCCAATGTTGGTCTAGCATTGATCTATTCATGATCTCAATCAAAACTCAACAATCCTCACAATCCTTTACTGATAATATCTATTTTGCTTGATATTTAGGCACTTGAAGCTTTCAGATATCATAATATGCAGAATTAAGAACAATTTCTAAAACCTAAAGTATAGAAACCTCATGAAATCTAAAATGTCATATTTTCTTTTCAAAAATCAAGTTCTTCGTGTCATTGTAACCTTACAGTCAATATGACTAACCTGTAAATAAGACAGTCACTTAACTCACATTAGTCATGTTCCTCAAATACATATTACGGACAATAAAACAAAAATTGTGATCTGAACACATATCATACTCACAGTAAACAAGTAAAAACTCATTGTGATATTGACAAGAGTGAATGCAACAATCAACAGATAATTCAATAAGACAATAGATAACTATGAATCAACTTCAATATCAGCTATAGTTCTGGCTGTATAGTTCTAAATTATGTTACAGTATAGATGGTATCTCAATCACTTAACAATTTATGAGAGTATAATAAACAAAGATTAATATGAATAAACCATTAACATTTTCAACTATATTAATGTTGAAACTATTCATGCCACATTTTTTGTTCAACAAAATACTAGTCAACATTAAAGACGGTTCAATAAATGACTCAATATTTACTTACATATTATCTTTTTTGTATTTTCTTTGCTATATAATAAAATCAGCAATATAATATACCTTTTTATAGAAAATATGCCAACAAGTGTCTGATCAATTGCAGTCCTAAATAACAATAAGAATATATAAGTAAACAACACCATGTGAGTTTAAACTTCATCCGATTGCACAAGCAGGTGGCTATCAGGACTCAGTATCTAAATGGATAACGCGATGGCGTTTGAAGCGAAAGGTACTGGGTTCGAGTCCCAGAGTGAACAACAACTCTGAGATGGAAGGACACCCAGCCGACGAGCCCCAAATAAGACGAAACGCTCGTCCTGGATTTCACTGCTAGCGACTATCCATCATTGCATATAAAGCTTGTGACTTCAGGTAATATGGAGGCAGTCCGCACAGTATGCACATATGCCAATAAGAGACTGATCAGTTACAGTCCTAAATAACAGTGAGATGATACAAGTAAACAACACCATGTGGAATATTGTTAATATTTTTATGTAAACATTTCTTACTGATGAATAATTTAAAGTAATGTATCCTTCAATAGAAAAGTCAGAATATTATTTTGTTAATCTTTTTTTTGAATAAACTACTTACATTGTGTTTGCTATTATGTAATCATTTGAAATTAATAACCTTATAGTTAAGCCTACAAATTTTATTTCTCTACTAGGGAATATTAAGATTATTTATTATTATTGTTATTATTATTATATATAGTCAAGAATTGGACCTTCAAGTTTATGATGATTTCTTTTTCTTTTCTGTTGTTTTTTTTGTTTGTTTTTATAACCAGGCAATTTATCTTAAATATTTATTTTTACCTATGAAGTTATATCAAGCTGAAATGACATTAAGTCGTCGTATCCCTGTTGAAAAGTTAGAAGATGCTATCCGCTTTAAAATAATTGATCAATGTATGTGTAATGGTTTGTGTTATTTTCAATCATAATTTTATTTTATGATAACTAGAATTAACAGTTTGAATAAAAGATTTAACTTTATTTTCTATTACAAACAATTCAGTAGTTTTACAACAGTTTGATGAAGGAAAATTGACAAAATCCTAGTTTAAGTATGTTAACTTCGTGAAGTATATGGTCAATTGAAATATAAAATTGATTAGATGAAATCTTGTGAATTACAAGTTATTTTAGTTGGATTGCTCTGAGTTGGTAGGTTTCATCATCATCATCATCATCATCATCATCATCATCATCATCATCATCATCATCATCATCATCATCATCATCATCATCAGCGCCTGTTACCCCTCGTGGAGGAGCGCAGGGCGCTCACCAGCATTCTCCATCCAACTCTGTCCTGAGCCTTCCTTTCAAGTTCTTTCCAGTTGCTATTCATCCTTTTCATATCTGCTTCTATTTCCCGGAGTAGTGTGTTCTTTGGCCTTCCTCTTTTCCGCTTCCCTTCCGGATTCCAAGTTAGGGTTTGAGTCGTGATGCACATTGGTGATTTCCTTAATGTATGTCCGATCCACTTCCAAAGTCTTTTCCTAATTTCCTCTTCAGCTAGAAGCTGATTTGTCCTCTCCCATAAAACGCTGTTGCTGATAGTATCCGGCCAATGGATGTTGAGTATTTTCCGTAGACAACTGTTTATAAATACTTGTACCTTCCTGATGATGGTCGTAGTAGTTCTCCACGTTTCAGCTCCATACAGTAGGACTGTCTTGACGTTCGTATTGAAGATTCTGACTTTGAAATTAGTTGAGAGTTGTTTTGAGTTCCATACGTTCTTCAATTGTAGAAATGCTGTCCTTGCTTTACCAATCCTCGCCTTTATATCTGCATCCGATCTTCCTTGTTTATCAACGATGCTTCCCAGGTACGTGAATGTTTCCACCTCTTCCAGAGTTTCGCCATCAAGTGTGATTGGGTTGAGGTTTGATACACACCCAAAAAATAATGCTTTATAGGATTAACAACAACTTGGGTATCAAACAAAGTATGATACATTTCTTTGCTCAATTCTGCTTCCACTTAAATAGTACAATGTTTTATTCAACAGTAACTTTTAAACTATTTCTTCTGATTATTGATTATTTCACAATTCAGAAGTAACGCATAGTTCTATAATCTGTTTACAACTGAATCTAGTGAATTAAGAAGAAAAATGAATAAAACTTAGAACAGTGATCATATAGAAGCATTATCATGTGAATGTTTCTGTTTCTAAATTTTTTGGTTATTTATTCTCTGAAGAAGTGGCTTACACTGAGTGACAAAACTTCAGAAAATCTAATTTTTCTACCCATTGGGATATTACAAATATATTATTTATTTATGTTTCTAAATTTGTTCATTGAACTGGATGAACAATCGTTTTAGAATAGGTAAAAGACATTCCCTAACATCGATTTACCCCTTTTTTCTTCTAATCTTATTAATCTTATTGCACTAGTAAATTCATCTTATCAAGTTATGTAATTCATTTTTATTCCTAAATCTTTATCTAATTTCTTAAGTATTCTTGATTAGTTATTCAAGTTCTGTCACAATTTCATTCTCAGTATTTCTAACAAGAATAACAGTTTATATACTTTTGTTCATTTTATCTTTTGTTTGATAATATATTATAGATTATGATTAGATATATTTGTAGCTGCACAGATTCAAGAATGAAAATGTTCCAAAAAAGGGATATTTTAGTTAAACCACTCCACAACCTCACGCTGAGAATTACTATGTGTTCACTGATGACTAGCTTCGGGTGGTAATTCTCGGAGTTCTAGTGAAAAACCGTAACCAGTGAACTTCAACCATGTCTCCTGTGAGGCATTTACACAACGAAGACAATGGAAGATGATCACGCAATATCGTGGAATAGTTGAAGTTAAAAATTTAACACAGTTGGATGTCGACTAAGTGGTGTAGAGGTTGAGTGTTCATGTGTGAGATTGAAGTTTGTGTGTTTGAATTCTACTTGTGAGATGTTGGATGCGCACTGGTGAGGATTCCTGTACTAGGACGAAACGGCTTTCTGATGCTTGCATGTTTTCTATGTTGGTCTACCATTAATCGATTCATGATCCTAATCGTAAACCAGTCTCCCTTCCTCTTGTGATATTATTCAATGAATTAATTATCTAGCAGAGGATTTCATAAATTAAAAATGTTTATTTAGTAGAATCGACTTAGAATCAATCACAACTTTACGCTGATTTTATATAAGATCACTTTGACACCAAGGAACGAACTGTTTAATATTTGTTTTTGTTGACATATAAATGAACTTAGAAATAGGTACAAAACTTTAGAGACAGAACAAGAAGCTAATGTCTGCCGGAAAATCTCCCGATAAATTAGAGTACATTCTGTAAATTATGCCAGCTTAACACCTTTTCAAATTTAAATAACTGATATGATCGCTTTAAAAAGTCAGTAGATGGGTTTGGAAAAAATCTTAGATAATTAAGAAGTACTTATCATCATTGTCTGGAGTTAGTTATAAAACCACTGAAAAGTACTGAGTTGTAACTCAATGTCTGAATAACAATGAAATTGACTTGGACTATTATGTTCTATGATTAGGGTCTAAGTGTAATCGTAGTTGTGTTTTTTTGGGAATTATCAAAGCACAACAAGAAAATATTTATTTAGTGACTTTATAATTGGTGTCATTTTTTGATGATGATGATGATGATGATGATGATGATGATGATGATGATGATGATGATGATGATGATGATGATGATGATGATGATGATGATGATGATGATGATGATGATGATGATGATGATGATGATGATGATGATGATGATGATGATGATGATGATGATGATGATGATGATGATGATGATGATGATGATGATGATGATGATGATGATGATGATGATGATGATGATGATGATGATGATGATGATGATGATGATGATGATGATGATGATGATGATGATGATGATGATGATGATGATGATGATGATGATGATGATGATGATGATGATGATGATGATGATGATGATGATGATGATGATGATGATGATGATGATGATGATGATGATGATGATGATGATGATGATGATGATGATGATGATGAAAGCTACTAGATCTCTTGTCTATGTTCAATTTTCATGTTTTTATGACATGTTTACATTATATAAGGTTATTTAGAAAATAGAACTGGTAGTTCCAACTTACGTTTTGAATTAATAAATAGCTTTATTAAAACGTTAAGAAAAATATACCATGGTTGTTTATGCACTAGCTCCTCTCTTTAGCCATCAGTGATATATTGTAGATGATTTTACATTGAAATCCAGTTTACTAAGTGAAAAATATTGTTAATCTCTATTCGTCTCATTCATAAAAGTTGGATCATGAGAAATTATAAGTGTCAAAATTAATGAAATACGACGTTTTTCCAATCAGTATTTGTATATCATAATTGAATTCAGACACTTTTTCTCTTATCATCAGAAGGGGTTTTGTGGAGATTAAGTATTTTCATAGTTGAAAGCGTGAGTCAATTGAAGTTAAACCATCATGGAAAATTTGGAAGCACTGGACGGTCGTTTTGTTCTATTGTAGGATTCTTCAACAGTGCGCATCCACGATCCCGCCTTGCACTGCTGAAGAGTCCTACAACAGAACAAAACGGCCGTCCAGTGATTCCAAATTTTCCATGGTAGTCTAGCTTCAATTGACTCATGATCTCAATTATATTAATTCAATATTATCAAATCAGTTATTTTGGAATTGTTGCTTATTTTTAATTGATGTTTCTACAGTACATATAATCAACAAATACTTTACTTAACCTCCATACAATTTTTATTTGATGTAAATTATTAGTCAAATTTTATACAAAATGATCGTTTAGATGATAACATACCTTTAATTAGATATAAATGTTACAATATTAACTAATTAAAGGTATTTGGCAAGAAATTCTGAATCTAGGTATCGTGTTAGTCGATACTCATCAGTAAAACGTATTTGGATTATTGATGGATTAGAATTGAAGGGCTACAAAAATATAATATTTGTTATTTAGTTTATCAAAGTATATTAAAGTTAATAATTGAATGATTAAACAACTTTTTATGTTGCACGTTATTTTCTTCTAGCTACTTTTATTGAAGCTCGATTACCTAATCAAGGCTATGTTGCAGCTCGTATCATCAATGCTAATCAAGCGGCAACCAATGGTATTGTTCATACTGTTGATGCTATTCCAGGTTTACCATATGAAACGGTTCAACAGTATGTAGCTAGAATCCCTGATTTTACGTAAGTTTTTTAATTAATTAATTGCATTTAAAACCAAAGAAACAGAATTTTGTTTGGTAAGACTATAACATAGTTAAATAACTATCAATTCTGTACATCGAAAATTATTATCGTTTGATAAATGCATTACTGTTACTATCATTTAAGAAGCGAATTCACAAACTGAAATTACGCCTTTTTTGAATACACTTTGATTTCCAATACTATATAAGCCAATGTTAGTTTATAATACGAATTATATCCATGAAATTTATGTTGACGAGTTATAAAACACTCAGTAAAAAGATTATAAATGGTAAAACTGAAAAATACTGTGATTATCAGGTGAACTGTAGCCCCCAAATGCCTTGGTACGGCAGAGAGTGAAGAGAGTCCGCTCCCACTCTCAAAATGCTCTCACAAGGCCACACGCATATAGCCTCTGTCGGGGAAGTCCTACTCACTGCCTTCTCGTGGCGGGGGTGTTGTTCACGAAAGTGAGAGGACGAAAAGCGAATGTCCGGCGCTTTGACCGGGTTGGTGGACACGGAAAGTCCACCTAGAGAAGTTGGAAAACCCTGATTCCAAATCAATGGTGCACATGGGCTCCAGTATTCTGAAGGAACAAATGGCGTATGAACCAATGTTTGGTCACCGGCTAACATGGGACTGCATCTCCTCACGATGCTCCACTGCCTTGTGGATCAGACCTATGCGTCAAAGGCTCTGGGTGTGGCCTCCTAAGAAAACCACCTGCTTCGTTCTGATCACCCGGTCAGTATCACAGCCTTCACACAAGTGTGGCGCATATATATCTGGTGCCCCTTTGTACCAATATGTATTTGTTTAAATAATAATAATAATTTATCGTTTAGTGCTACCCTGTCATCTTTCAACAATTATTCAACAATGATAAGCTTTTGTTCATAAACATATTATAGATCTAATTATTTGATGCATTTTGAAAGGTTTCCATATTGAACCGTTCAGTTTTTCATGTAACTCAGTTCATATTTTATAATTGAAATCATGAGTCAATTGAAGTTAGACTACACCATGGAAAATTGTTTTTTGTCATTTCAGTTACTGTTATAATGAATGTTACTCCATCAAAAAGGTTTCCATTACTCATTAGAATCTTTGATCCTTCTAACAAAAAGATCTACGCTTTAATTAGACTAAATCATTCAATATATTGAAAGATTGTATTTTAATATAATTGATATGATTTGTTTCTGTGATCTAATTTTTTTATTATTCAATTTTAGTTTATATTACAATACAGGTTTTATTCAATCAATGACTGTTGGTGAACCATATACATTTCTAGTACCAACAAACCAAGCAATGACTTCTATAAATAATGACATTGAAGTAGGAAACAAACTGATGACTGATAAACTTCGAAAAGATTTTGTGAGTAGCATGTTCATTTCATAGAGAAATAATACTATTGTTATTAAATATTTATACCAGTCAAGTAAGTGTTTATATGAATGTCAATATAAAGATAATCTTCCCTGGATGATCATCTACGTCTGGGGATTAGTGAATGACTGCTATGTTTTTATTTGATACTTTCTCTGATTGCTCATTAGTTATACCCAGACTTACAACCAAACCCAGAATTTACAGATCTTATAATCATATAGATACCACTCAGTTACTGAGTCTAAATCAAACGACTGTTACATTCTTGAATTTTTCTGAGTAGACAATTTACCAAACCATAAACATTCAACTCTTATTACATTGAGTTGCTGAGTATTGGAACGAATATCCTGGATGTCTGAAGAGAATTTGTGATCTATGAAATTAGTACAATCAAATTAGGGAGATATAACCGACTGTTTATGAAAAACGAAACAGAAACAAATGACATGGTCTTCATCAGTTCACATTCTAAGCCAATTATAATGATGTGTGTGATCGATGAGTTTCATACTCTCTACAGTCATATTTATAAAGCTATGATACGTCGGAGGAAACTACCAAACACAAATATCATTCATGCATCATAAAGGTAGGCTGACGATCTTTCTGGATTTTAATCAGTAATAGAGTTAAAAATAATACTGATGTGAAGTCCATTAGGGGAACATATATAAAAAATTTTAAACCATTGAAGTCAGAATTTCAAAATAACAACAATTACTGAATGGTGATCTAGGCCAGTAACGGGGATGTTTTTATGTTCATGATGTCCCTACTAAATACAAATGGTTTTCTAAAGGTGGCAATGATTGGACATCGAGAATTTCCAAAGATCCTTAAGTCAGTTTTCGCGACTGCACAACAGAAACGCTTGAATCGGTTTAGACTACACCAACGTTTTAGAGTTAGATCAGCAGCACTAAGTCTGAACTAGAGATAGTGTAATCCATCATGTCATTCAGCGAACGAAGATTGGTCATTTTTAAACCAACAACCACCACCAATAATTAAGCAACTACTCAGAAGATAGATAAAATATATTGTGTAGTTATGCAAATATACTAGAACAAAAAGTATGTTTAACAAAATAACTTGGCATATTCTTACCTACATAAATATATTTTGAAATTATCATCAGCTATGAGAAATTATGTTTTATAAAGTAATTATATCATATAATTAAAGATCTACATAAGGACAAAATAGACAATGAACAACTTTGTTTTTCGACAGTCTAGTTCATCACTTTCAGACTTCTTTTTTTTAATGTCATACTTAATATTTTTTATAGGTGTTTCGTCGTAATACATTTCCACTGGACTTGATAATTCAAGATATGGATATACGTAAAGTATATTATGTGTCTACAGCAAATTATGCATTCACACGTGAACAATTACGTCTGGAAATTAATTCTAGGAATTCTGATAAAGGTGAACTGTATGCTAATCATATTAAATTATTTTATTAAATAATTAGTTAATTTGTGGACATGATTGGTGAAACATACTAATCACTTCTTTGAATCATTTGTGCATATTAGGTAATATTAACATAATTCAGAGTGATCTTTCATTATTTAGGTCAATCTTTATTTGATCAGTTCCGTGTACAGCTTGAAAAGTTTATTTGATATTATCTGAAAGTAGTATTGTTGATGGTTTTGAGTTAGACTGGTTAGATTCTCAACTTTTGTAATTAATTGAATGTCTAATATCCGGTCATATCAATCCATAAGTAACGCTTGTATTATCCTAATCAATTTACCAATTAATCAACGTAAAGAAATATCAGTCAATGCTCATAAAATACAAATTTTCAACAGGGATATAGAATTAAGATATCGTAAAGGACTTTGGAACAGCACACCTTACGGTTGTTGGAATGAAACATTGTTGGACATGTGGAGAAACAGTTAAGTTTGTGATCGTTATGACTAACACTTTTTTAGGTTGATGATTTGTTGAGATTTCTCATTAGTATCTATGAATGTAGGTTAAGAGTCGGTGAATCTAGGATTAAAATCTTTTAATGGAACATTTACATAACATGTTGTAGAGTTACAAAACTTACTTAATGTTCATGTGTTCGATTAATTTTATAACCACAAAATCTGCTATCCCAGGATTATGATTATCCCAGCATTTCATACACATAAATTACTTTATCATTTTGAAAAGAGCAAGAACGCAGATTCTAGCAAAATAACATGAATTCATTCTATTTCGTTTTGTTCTTATCAGCTCCTTACAAATTGTGGTATTTAAAACTGGTAATTACAAAATGGGCTTAAATTACTTACATGAGTGTTTAGTTGGAAGTTATGTTGAAGATACATTAGTATAGTACAGCAAGGGTGTAAGTAAATTGAATGGACTGAATATTGTACCTTATGTAGAAGAACATCCCACAACATTGATTGTAACAAACAAACAAGTGATTACATAATGATTAAACGCTGGTAGGAATAAAACGAGTAAAACTCAGTTAATAAAATAAGATTACAATCTAGGAGACAGTCAAAATATAAAAAAAACCCAATGATGCAATAAATGAAAGAAAAAGTTTTTTTGATGTTTTAAGATGCAACGAAGGAATATTTCGATAATGCAATGAGAAGACGAAGATTATCAGAACTATGTGATATATTAGCGCAATACATTTCGAACAATCTGATCACACATATACTTGTTAAGAACATTTATATATAAAAATGAAAGGTCAACTAGACTGGAAATAGGGGTAAGAATAGACAAGGATAATAATGATAAAATAATGTGAAAACAATTTGACACCTAATCACTCTGGATAATAAGCATATATTACCAGGGTAGGTTTAAAGAGAGAACAAACTGTTTTTGAATACACAAAGGGGGGTTGAATTTTCGTATGGCTAAGGCTTCAATAAACCTTAGTATACTCCCTTTTACAAGGCTTCAGTAAACTTCAGGAGACTGGAGCTTGAATGTTTATTAATCACCTCGATAGATTGCGACCTGATGTCCTGTATCCAAGATATGTTTTGTAATTGCACTCTTTAGAGTCGTTCGTTCTCTTGTTCTAGGACTTTTTGGAACATACTCAAAAAACCTAAGATATATCCTCCTTTCTGTTCGGCCAATATAGCTGCTATGGCAGGTATACGTAAATTTATAAACACAGTTGGCGCTAGCATGAAAGGGGTGCCTGTCGACATTTGATTGGGTTATTGAACATATTGTTTTATACGGAATTACTAGTTTGGCTGCATAGTAAGTTCTGACTAATGCAGTGTCAAGCCTCCTGCTGATTTCCAACATTCGTGTAGTCTAGTTATTTACTCTAGAATTAAATCTAAAACTGTTTATATGTTCTCTCTCTTACACTAGATCAAAAAATACCAGAAATTCAATTTTGTGTTCATTGGGACTTTATAATTATATTATTTCTATGAATATTAATTTCACGAATCCTCAATTTATTCGAAATTATTAAATCAAACCTCGGCAATGACACTTAACAAAACCATAAAAATGCAATGAATAACTTTGATCTTTCCTTTATATAAGAACATCCAAAGAAATGATTACTTCTCTGAATTATTTCAACACTCTTATTGTTTACTTATACCGCTGCTTCACAACCGTTTTTTTCGTATTTTTTCAACTTACATTATTTTGATTCCTTACAGAAGGTGTATTCACATATCTAGACGAAAGAATTCAAGTATTATCGCTAAATGGACCTTATCAATTTACGAATGGTTTTCTTTATTCAATAGACAAAATCCTTTATACAAAATCGGATCTTAACGCAACAATGTGCACCGTATCAGCTTGTGCATAAGTGGAACATAATTCTGGTTGAATCAATTATTTATTCACTATGGTTGTCCTCAATATTGAAATGTAATAAACTTTACCTAAATTGATTAGTTGTTCTGATGCACATTCGGTGATTTATTACCTTGTCTGTTTATATTAAGTAATATTCAGTACGACTTTTCACTCTATTCGTCCTCATTAATAAATGTATTATAAAAAGTAATTCTTTCTTCATCTGAATTTTCAAAAAACTGGTTAATTAATTTGGAGTAAGCAGATAAATTGATTCACCAAGGTGAAGTTGCTCATTGAGTTTAGTTTCCTTTAAACTTTTACTGATAATATTAAGTCAGTACTGATCACCCTTCAAATGTAAGGTATTGCTTCAGAAGCAGCTTAGCCTAGTTTGTTGACTTTAACTGAAGGAATTTAGCTCACTGATAATTTTAGTTACCTCAATGACCTCATCTCATATGTGTTTATTTCTAATGAAACCTCACATAGACGCAAGATGCTGATGTGAAGTGTGATAACTCGAGCTGATATAGATTTGCATGATATGTTAAGCTGTTTCTGCTTTCTGTTTATTTGCCATATGGACTCCGACATAAGTTATAGACAGTTATATCATATACAAGTATTGTTTAAACATTATATCTATGCAATAATCCACAATTTTATTAACTAAATTATCTGTGAAAACCGTAAGATGAACTCATTTTTTATTGACTTTAATAGGCGAAAAGTAAAAGAAAATGAATTTATATCAGTAGATTTCTAGAAATACGATTATACAGCTTTAGTTAATGACATAGTCGAAAAGAAAATTTCCTTTGTTGAAATGTCTTCATCCTTTTTCAATAGATTTCTATTATATGGAATAACTATTTACATGTGTTTTTGTATATGGTATATATCTCATAAGTAGTTAAAATGATTCTTTACTTGTAAAAGGTAAGTTATCTTCTAGTGTTGGTTGCTATGTTAAGCCCACACAGCTTATTCTACCTTCCAGGAAGCCAGTTTATTCATTCTTCTTGAGTCACATTTTGACCTTGTTAATTATTCGCCTATCAACCTAGACTATTTTCAGATGAGCGCATGTATGTGCACATCTTGTCCTGTTCATCACATGTCTAACTTATTTTTGTTCGGCTGTAAATATCGATTCACGCTTGACTAAATCGAATTGGCTTACGTGCCTTCTCCACTGAGCGCCATTACGTTTCGCCTCGCTCTCTCGTTTCGTCGCTCCCTTCACTTCGTCCCTCTGATTGTTTGTCTAGATCAATGAGTGTACAAAATATACATACTCAAAAATCCATTTCCGTATTTGACTTATTTTACTTCCGTTATTCACTGACGCGAGTTAGGTTGATAATTATATACGAGGATAGCAGGGATGTGTGTTTCGACAGCAATCACTCGATAACTATCATTCATACGATCTAATTGGAGTTAGATACCGGGCCACAAAAGTCTATTTACTAGTCTTTTGTAGCTTTTTAGGGACGAGTGAGCAAAGTGTAAATGAAGCTGGTTTTTTCTCCTAGAAACTAAATCAAATTCGAATTTATCTATTGTCGGTTTTCCTAATTTAGCTAAGTTATTTATTTCAGTAAGTCGTGTTGGACCGCCATCACTCTATCCACTTAGATACTGTGTCCTGAAAGACAGTAACTTGTGCGACAGGGTGAAGTTTAAATTTATCAATTGCAGTCCTAAACATCAATATAAAGATTCAAATGAACAATATAAAATGAATGTGGGTGCATCCAGCTGACGAGTCCCAGACAGGACGAAACGCGTGTCCTGGATTCCACTGCTAGCCACCATCCATCTTATGTATAGTAATGTTTGTAGAGCTTTTCACTTTTTCTTATTATATAAAAATAGTTGAAATATCCAATCAAATACATTATTTTGAATATGAATAGATAATGCAAAGAAACTGAGCAAAATGATTTGGCTCTAAGATCATTAAAATAATGACCAATATGCACACGTAATAATAGCGAAAGTAAAGAATTTTAATAAGTTAGGTATTTATAAAATTAATATCGAAAACGGAATGTTTCAAGTGTTAGTTCATATTTTTTTCCTTATTAACAAAGGATCGCAAACTTTACGTTATTTGTCTTTAGCGTTTCTCAATATTTATAATATTGATAATTAGATGTATTGGAGTTGTATCTTCTTACCGGCATTACTGTGTAGTAAAAAATCAAGCTCTCAGTTCGTCTATGTCTAATATTTTTACTTATCACTGATACTACTACTACCAATAATTTTAATACTTAAATATTCATCTTGATGATTTTTTCTTAATATGTTATTGTGGGGTATCAACATAGAATTATGAATATTTGTGCCAGATTCTACGTTTCTTACGACTGATCTCTACTCTTTAGTTAAAGATTTCTGCTTTTTTCATGACTCGATTTCCGAAAACTAATCAAAGTACCTAGACTTTACGATAAACATTGACATACGGTAGACGATATTTCTACATAACCATGAACTATTTTTTATACTATTTGTCACAGTAATCAGTTTATTTGACAGATACTAACTATACCAAGGATTGGCCTAATCAACCTAAACACCAATTCATCTTAAATTACTGTTAAAATGTAGATAACATTTTTTTCGAGAGATTTTATATGTGTAATTCCCTTTATCAACTTAAAGAAAGGCACCATTAGCGTTTCTTTTATATGTTAAGTATAAAAGTCATCTTAAATGTCCTATTGGCTGCCCTGATGAACAAAATAAGTTGCTTCTGGTTCATTTTAACTACATCTAACCACTACTTTTTTCAGTACGTCAAAATTTAGCAAGAAATGCTGATTAATAAGAAAATTAAAATTCATACAACGTTTGTATTTTTTAGCAACTTCTTTGATTTAAGTATTCCAGATAGGCAAAACAGCAACTACTATTACCAACAACCATCTATGTTTAAGTGGCATTCTCAATAATTTATCAGACTGTAAATAACATAACATGTAAAAGATGGAATGTGGTTAACAGTGGAAAACAGGACAAGCGTTTCGTTCTATCTGGAACTTATCAGCCGGATGTGCTTTTATCCCAGACTTGACGTTCACCCTGGAATTCGAACCAAACACCGTTTGCTTCAAGCGCTGTCACTTTATCCACTTGGTTAATGAGTCCAGATAACTACTCACTTGTGCGACAGGTACGCGATTTAATTCACTTTGAAATTATTTGGATTAGCCAGTTGTTGATAGTTTTGACTGAAATTTGATCAATCTTGGTTGACATATAAGCACCCTGTGCAGGTAACCTCGATGTAGTCGTTATTACAAAAACCGATGCATCTTATCTGGAATTCAGTTACACCCAGCTGATGAGTCACAAGTGGAACGAAATGTGTGTCCTGGAACCAACTGCTAGTCATATCTTACCGCTCATTACAGATTCAATCTAGCATCCAGGCATCACTTAGCCATTGCAGATCTTTGAATTTAATCTTATATCAAAGGATATATTAATGACTGAAACATTCATTTTGTGGTCATTCTTAATTATCTAACATATCCTTGAAATACTACATCAAGACTGATTATAATACAGTTTGCAGTTAACATCCTTTTCATTGATAAAATCCAAATACTATTTCCCATACCACCGTCTACTTACTTTTGTGTAGTTACCAGAAAGATAATATATTTAAACACTTTTACCTTCTATATAATTACTAATCCTGTGGCAGCTTGATGCAAAATATAGACATACCCTATGATTAAGCCTAACTCCGCCTGTAGTTCCTTTGGGGTTACTGCCGGTCCCATACCCAGATAAAGGAGGAGGGTTGGGCATGGGGTTAGTGACTCCATCCCACAGAAGACTGACTCGTAAAAAAACGATAACCAGAAAAAATAATCCAAACCATTTAAACTCTTCCCCGGGAGTTAGAAGGTCTTCAATTAGAAGAGTTATGAAGCCTCATGTTGAAAGCCGAGTTCCTTCGAAAGTCACGAGGCTGATGCCCATTTTGATAACCACAGCAACCATTAATTTAGGTACGTGGAATGTTCGTACAATGTAGGAGAGTCATCCAAGTAGCTCCAGAAATGAAAAGATAAAACCTGGAGGTGCTTGGAATCAGTGAAACACATTGGACGCAGGTTGGACAACAAAGACTAGCTTCACAGGGGCTCCTGTTACACTCCGGCCATGAAGAAGAAAATGCTCGGCATACACAAAGCGTTGCACTGATGCTATCCAAACAAGCTCAAAATGCACTTATAGGATGAGAATCTCATGGACCCAAGATCATCAAAGCCTCCTTCAAAACAAAGAAAGAGGACATTACAATGAACGTCATCCAGTGCTATGCACCTACCAACGATTACAATGAAGACGTTAAAGATCAATTCTAAGATAGGTTGCAATCAGTCGTTGAGGAATGCCCGACAAAAGACTTGATTATTTTGATGGGAGACCTAAATGCCAAAGTTGGAATGGACAACACCGGATATGTAGACATCATAGGATGATATGGACTGAAGAAAGGAACGAAAATTGTGAGAGATTCGCAAACTTATGTGCCTTCAATAAACTGGTCATAGGCGGTACCATATTCCCATATAAACGCATACACAAAGTCACATGGATTTCACCGGATCACACTACACAGAACCAAATCAACCACATCTGCATCAATAAAAAGTCCAGGAGGACGATGAAAGATGCGAGAACCAAGAAGGGGGCTGATATAGCCTCACATCATCACTTGCTGGTCGCCAAGATGAAACTGAAACTCAAGAAGCACTGGACAACACAAAAGTTTAATACGCCCGTTCTTCGGGATACTGACAAACTCAACAAATTCAACATAGCTCTCAACAATAAGTTTCAGGCCTTTCATGATCTACTCAATGGAGAGGGAACTACCATGGAGAGCAACTGGAAAAGTACCAAGGAGGCAATCGTTTCAACATGTCAAGAGGTTCTGGGCCAAAAGAAGCACCATCACAAGGAATGGATCACTGTTGGTACAATGGATAAGATCGAAGCAAGGAGGAACAAGAAGGCAGCAATCAATATCAGCCGAACAAGAGCGGAAAAAGCCAAGGCACAAGCCGAATATACAGAGGCAAACAAGCAAGTGAAGAGGAGCATCAGGACCGAAAAACTTAAATATGTGAAAGATTTAGCAATGACGGTGGAAAAGGCTGCAAGAGA